TTTTTCGATTTGTATTCTTTTTCTTTTCATTTTTAAGTAGTTATATTATATTTAGTTACTTTTTAGAGGACCCCTCTGTAAACCACTTTTTAATGATGTTGGCATCCTCAATAAAGATTAGCTATTATTATTATTATTAAACCATTGCGCGAGAACAATTCAAGAATGTTAAAATTTCAAGATAGATTTCAAAATAGCAAATACCATGGTGAATGGTGATAATAACAATGTAATAGTTCTTAAAAGAACTGTTTTAACCAAAACACTAACCAAACAATTCATAGGAACCGTTATTTACAGCTAGAAAGAGACACTATGCATTTCGGCAGACTACTCGTCAGGTGTCAACGTCTGCTAAATGAGAACCTCAAAACCATGCTATATTTATAACGTTACTAAAGGTCTATGTCATCCCTATTTTTAGAGATGACACTTAAAACAGAGACAGATTAAACACGTAATCCTTTTGTCAGCAAAGGACAGGATTAGTCAATTTAATTAATACCGACTCCATGACGCGTAGCTGGAATAACGAGCGACATTTTTTAATAATTCTGAAGTTTTCATCAGAATAAGCATTGGCACAGCGAGTATTGCTCAAAAGATATTTTCCAATCGCTGAATCACATAGAATCGGATTTTCACTTTTACACACGTTTTGGTAGTTGTCGTAAAGGAACAGTTTTTCCTGAAAGAAGCTGGTACTGTTATTCTTTCCTCAACCTTTGAAGTCCTACCTACATAGCAGGCATCACATGTTAGGACTTCTCATATGTAGGTAAGACTTCTCAAGGTTGAGTGAAAGAATAAAACAGCATGTACCAACTTCTTTCAGGAAAAAAACTGTTCCTACTACAAAACGTAAGTCAAAAAATCATCTATGTTCAGCGATTGAAAATATCTTTGAGCAATACTGCTGTGCAATGCTTATTCTGATGAAAACTTTAGAATTATTAAATGTCGCTCGTTATTCTTACGCGTCATGGAGTCGTATTAATTGACTAATCTGTCCTTTGCTGACAAAAGATTGCGTGTTAATCTGTCTCTGTTGTGTCATCTAAAAATAGGATGAATGACCTTGTAACGTTATAAATATAGCATGGTTTAAGGTTCTCATTGGAGACGTTGACACTGGTAGTCTGCCGAAATGCCTGTCTTTCTACTAAATAACGTTCCACAATTGTTTGAGTTAAAACAGTTCTTTTAAGAACTATTACATAGTTATTATCACCATTCACCATGGTATTTGCTATTTTGAAATCTATCTTTAAGTTTGTCACCACGACAAGGTCTCTGTTTCATTAGTTAAAATTTCAGTTGGCGTAATTGGTAACCTGATTTATTTTCCCCTTTCTATTCTAGAACATGCGAGAATTTGTCAAAACACATTACTTTACCATTGACTGCGCCATTTTCTCTCATTTAAGACGACGCAAACACTAGAAATGCATAGCTTGTATTGTTTTATGGAATATGTATTGTTTTAGCTTCTTATTATCTAACAAATTATTGTAATTTGCATAATTGTCTCAAACAAAATGAAGGTAAAAACCCAGAAATAGATGAAAGTTGAAAGCCGAGCATTAAGATCTTTAATTAAAGAAAATTGCGCAGTAGATTGTAATACACCACCATTCCATAAATTCCAACTCAGTAAAACTTGACTAATATATGTTATCTCCCACTAATTTATCACGACATTATGTTTTGTTTGAGATCATACACACATTTTTTCATCGCGTATATAAGACCATTGCACATAAGTTAATTGGAAATTATGTAATCTTGAGCAAAATGTAAGTGAATTTCAGTTGAGCTGCAATGTAGATTATAATTATCTGTTTGTTTTCAATGTTAGCTACATTGCCACGACATCTACATTATAGGTATATGAATGAGACATGCAAGGCATTCACAAAATTTAACATGCATTTTCTGCACGATTAGTATGAGCAATTCAAAAAATGTTCATCCTTAACATAATATTTCTGAATTGATGAAAAGAATAATTTTAAGATGCATTTTAAGATGCAAACATTTCTGTATTTGGAATGCTTCCGCACACAAGATTTTCACATAAAATATATGAACTTATATATCAAGAAAATGGCATTAGCTACAAATAGATTATCAGGTCAAAAGCTAATCGTATATTGAACATTCCTAAATTTACTATTAAATTCTAGAGTTAGTTTGATGTTGTTTATTGCTATATAATAGTAACTATAAACAAATACATCGAAATCTACATAAATATTTGTGAAGGTTTACTTATAATGAAAAGTTCTTAATGTGCAGCATGCATATAATAATCTTATATAATAAACATGTTTTCTTTACTTTGGTAATGTTAAACTATTTACTAGATGATAATGATGCTGGATTTGTGGCCATTCACTTTTGCTCACAAAAATGAATTGCGTTAAAGCGATTCTACACAAGAAGTCGAGTTGTCAGAAGTCTTTTTTTCTGCAACTGACTTGCACATATTACCAAGGAAACTATCTATCACATAGTTTTAAAATTATGTCTTGCTGTATTTGCTACGGGGCTTATGGCTCAAAATAATTTCTCGCACGCAATAAATATATTTCTCTACTCTTTATACTCTTGAGTGGTAATTTCACAAAGTTTGATGAATTAATTCAATTTGTCATAGCTTGTCGCTTGCTGAAAATTTTGCTGGCTAAATAAGAGCTTTGAAAAATTTTTATCAATCTGAATTTCGATTTTAATGGAGGTTTTATAATGTTTTAGAAAGCAATTTCAATTTGGTCTAGAAATGGGATTATAATTATGGACATTTACGATCTCAAAGGGACGAAGGTGCTGTTTCGTTTGTCGTTTGAGGGACTGCTTGAGACCATTTGACGGGTTCATGTGTGTTCTTTTATTGCTATAGAATAATGTTTGATCTGATTTTAATAAGTATCGGACTATTATACTCTCTTTGGCCATTAAATTGCAAAATCAAATCGTTTTTGTGCTATTTCTTTCCTGAGAATTCTTCTGCATTCATGAAATTCATAAACTCACTGTAGCAACACATTCAGACTATAAAGAACTGTTTGAAATTTATGAGTTTTATCGAAAATGTGTAAACACAATCTTTTCTATTTTATCTTGATATACATAGTTATACTACCATTTCTGGGGCTGGTAAATAGGAGCAGTGGCGGATCTAGGGTAAGTCAGAACACATTATAGCACCTCATTTTGAATCCAAAATACTATTACATTAAATCTGCAGGTTAAAAAATTCAAAAGAGTATTTTGAAGGTAAAATCTTACTAATATGATCGTTTATAAAGTATTTTGAATTGTAAAAAAAACCATGACCAGACGACAGTTTAAAAAAAAATATATAAAGCCAATTTCGAAAAAACAAGACATCTTGAGATTCAAAAATATGCATAAAAACAAGACGAGACGTGAACTGCATATTTTCGACTTTATTTCAAAGTCATCCTCAGACAGAATGATACTTAAAACCATACATACACATATATATTTACAACGCACGAAATAAGTAAACGGAAGTAAGCAATAAATTGTCGGCTTCAAATTGTCGGCTGGTCATGGTTTTTGGTCTAAACTCGGAAACACAGACTCTGATTTACACAATCAATGCATACGCTATCAAAGATCACAACGACGTTATGAGAAAGCTTTACTTGATTTGAAAGTCTTAGTCAATTGTAAGAATAATCAAGTCTACGCTAAATTTCTAAGATGGAAGAACATCACACAAATCCCCAGAAAAAATAATACGCATCAATATAGCTACTTTTTCTAAAAGCATTCGGCGCAGGATGTCTATCTTCCAAAATAGCCTGTTACATTACAAACGACATATACAAATTTTCTATTCTGAAACCATCGCGCGAGAACAATTCAAGAATGTTAAAATTTCAGTTGGCGTAATTGGTAACCTGATTCATTTTCCCCTCTCTATTTTAGAACATGCGAGAATTTGTCAAAACACATTACTTTACCACTGACTGCGCCATTTTCTCTCGTTTAAGACGACGCAAAACCTAGAAATGTATAGCTTGTATTGTTTTATGGAATATGTATTGTTTTAGCTTGTTATTATCTTACAAATTATTGTAATTTACATAATTATCTCAAACAAAATGAAGATAAAAACCCAGAAATAGATGAAAGGTGAAAGCCGAGCATTTAGATCTTTAATTAAAGAAAATTGCGCAGTAGATTGTAATACACCGCCATTCCATAAATTCCATCTCAGTAAAACGTGACTAATATATGTTATCTCTCACTAATTTATCACGACATTGAGTTTTGTTTGAGATCATACACACATTTTTTTATCACGCAAACAAGACCATTGCACATAAGTTAATTAAAAATTAAGTAATCTGGAGCAAAATATAAGGGAATTTCAGTTGAGCTGCAATGTAGATTATAATTATCTGTTTGTTTTCAATGTTAGCTACATTGCCACGACATCTATATTATAGGTATATGAATGAGACATGCAGGGCATTCAGAAAATTTAACATGCATTTTCTGCACGATTAGTATGAGCAATTTAAAAAATGTTCATCCTTAACATAATATTTCTGAATTGATGAAAAGAATAATTTTAAGATGCATTTTAAGATGCAAACTTTTCTGTGTTTGGCATGTTTCCGCACACAAGATTTTCACATAAAATATATGAACTTATATATCAAGAAAATGGCATTAGCTACAAATAGACAATCAGGTCAAAAGCTAATCGTATATTGACATTCCTAAATTTACTATTAAATTCTAGAGGCAGTTTGATGTTGTTTATTGCTATATAATAGTAACTATAAACAAATACATCGAAATCTACATAAATCTTTGTGAAGGTTTACTTATAATGAAAAGTTCTTAATGTGCAGCATGCATATAATAATCTTATATAATAAACATGTTTTCTTTACTTTGGTAATGTTAAACTATTTACGAGATGATGAAGATGCTGGATTTGTGGCCATTCACTTTTGCTCACGAAAATGAATTGCGTTAAAGCGACTCTACACAAGAAGTCGAGTTGTCAGAAGTCTTTTTTTCTGCAACTGATTTGCACATATTACCAAGGAAACTATCTATCACATAGCCTTAAAATTATGTCTTGCTGTATTCGCTACGGGGCGTTAGGCTCAAAACAATTTCTCTTATACATCTCACACGCAATAAATATATTTCTCCACTCTTTATATTCTTGAGTGGTAATTTCACAAAGTTTGGTGAATTAATTCAATTTGTCATAACTTGTCGCTTGCTGAGAATTTTGCTGGTTAAATAAGAGCTTTGAAATGTTTTTATCAATCTGAATTTCGATTTTAATGGAGGTTTTATAATGTTTTAGAAAGCAATTTTAAAATGGTCTAGAAATGGGAATATAATTATGGACTTTTACGATCTCGAAAGGACGAAGGTGCTGTTTCGTTTGTCGTTTGAGGGACTGCTTGAGATCATTTGACGGGTTCATATGTGTTCTTTTATTGCTATAGAATAATGTTTGATCTGATTTTAATAAGCATCGGACTATTATACTCTCTTTGGCCATTAAATAGCAAAGGTAAATCGTTTTTGTGCTATTTTTTCCTGAGAATTGCATCTGCATTCATGAAATTCATAAACTCACTGTAGCACACATTCAGACTATAAAGAGCTGTTTGAAATTTATGAGTTTTATCGAAAATGTGTAAACACAATCTTTTCTATTTTAACTTGATATACATAGTTATACTACCATTTCTGGGGCTGGTAAACAGGAGCAGTGGCGGATCTAGGGTAAGTCAGAACACATTATAGCACCTCATTTTGAATCCAAAATACTATTACATTAACTCTGCAGGTTAAAAAATTCAAATGAGTATTTTGAAGGTAAAATCTTACTAATATGATCGTTTATAAAGTATTTTGAATTGTAAAAAAAGCCATGACCAGACGACAATTAAAAAAAAAATATATAAAGCAAATTCCGAAAAAACAAGACATATTCAGATTCTAAAATATGCATCAAAACAAGACGAGACGTGAACTGCAAATTTTCGACTGTATTTCAAAGTCATCCTCAGACAGAATGATATTTAAAACCATACATACACATATATATTTACAACGCACGAAATAAGTAAACGGAAGTAAGCAATAAATTGTCGGCTTTAAATTGTCGGCTGTTCATGGTTTTTGGTCTAAACTCGGAAACACAGACTCTGATTTACACAATCAATGCATACGCTATCAAAGATCACAACGACGTTATGAGAAAGCTCTACTTGATTTGAAATTCTTAATCAATTGTAAGAATAATCAAGTCTACGCTAAATTTCTAAGATGGAAGAACATCACACAAATCCCCAGAAAAAATAATACGCATCAATATAGCTACTCTTTCTAAAAGCATTCGGCGCAGGATGTCTATCTTCCAAAATAGCCTGTTACGTTACAAGCGACATATACAAATTTTCTATTCTGAAACCATTGCGCGAGAACAATTCAAGAATGTTAAAATTTCAGTTGGCGTAATTGGTAACCTGATTCATTTTCCCCTTTCTATTTTAGAACATGCGAGAATTTGTCAAAACACATTACTTTATCACTGACAGCGCCATTTTCTCTCATTTAAGACGATGCAAAACCTGGAATGTATAGCTTGTATTGTTTTATGGAATATGTATGTTTTAGCTTGTTATTATCTAACAAATTATTGTAATTTATAATTATCTCAAACAAAATGAAGATAAAACCCAGAAATAGATGAAAGGTGAAAGCCGAGCATTAAGATTTTAATTAAAGAAAATTGCACAGTAGATTGTAATACACCGCCATTCCATAAATTCCATCTCAGTAAAACTTGACTAATATATGTTATCTCTCACTAATTTATCACGACATTGAGTTTTGTTTGAGATCATACACACATTTTTATCACGTAAACAAGACCATTGCACATAAGTTAATTAAAATTAAGTAATCTGGAGCAAAATATAAGGGAATTTCAGTTGAGCTGCAATGTAGATTATAATTATCTGTTTGTTTTCAATGTTAGCTACATTGCCACGACATCTATATTATAGGTATATGAATGAGACATGCAGGGCATTCAGAAAATTTAACATGCATTTTCTGCACGATTAGTATGAGCAATTTAAAAAATGTTCATCCTTAACATAATATTTCTGAATTGATGAAAAGAATAATTTTAAGATGCATTTTAAGATGCAAACTTTTCTGTGTTTGGCATGTTTCCGCACACAAGATTTTCACATAAAATATATGAACTTATATATCAAGAAAATGGCATTAGCTACAAATAGATTATCAGGTCAAAAGCTAATCGTATATTGAACATTCCTAAATTTACTATTAAATTCTAGAGTTAGTTTGATGTTGTTTATTGCTATATAATAGTAACTATAAACAAATACATCGAAATCTACATAAATATTTGTGAAGGTTTACTTATAATGAAAAGTTCTTAATGTGCAGCATGCATATAATAATCTTATATAATAAACATGTTTTCTTTACTTTGGTAATGTTAAACTATTTACGAGATGATGAAGATGCTGGATTTGTGGCCATTCACTTTTGCTCACGAAAATGAATTGCGTTAAAGCGACTCTACACAAGAAGTCGAGTTGTCAGAAGTCTTTTTTTCTGCAACTGATTTGCACATATTACCAAGGAAACTATCTATCACATAGCCTTAAAATTATGTCTTGCTGTATTCGCTACGGGGCGTTAGGCTCAAAACAATTTCTCTTATACATCTCACACGCAATAAATATATTTCTCCACTCTTTATATTCTTGAGTGGTAATTTCACAAAGTTTGGTGAATTAATTCAATTTGTCATAACTTGTCGCTTGCTGAGAATTTTGCTGGTTAAATAAGAGCTTTGAAATGTTTTTATCAATCTGAATTTCGATTTTAATGGAGGTTTTATAATGTTTTAGAAAGCAATTTTAAAATGGTCTAGAAATGGGAATATAATTATGGACTTTACGATCTCGAAAGGACGAAGGTGCTGTTTCGTTTGTCGTTTGAGGGACTGCTTGAGATCATTTGACGGGTTCATATGTGTTCTTTTATTGCTATAGAATAATGTTTGATCTGATTTTAATAAGCATCGGACTATTATACTCTCTTTGGCCATTAAATAGCAAAGGTAAATCGTTTTTGTGCTATTTTTTCCTGAGAATTGCATCTGCATTCATGAAATTCATAAACTCACTGTAGCACACATTCAGACTATAAAGAGCTGTTTGAAATTTATGAGTTTTATCGAAAATGTGTAAACACAATCTTTTCTATTTTAACTTGATATACATAGTTATACTACCATTTCTGGGGCTGGTAAACAGGAGCAGTGGCGGATCTAGGGTAAGTCAGAACACATTATAGCACCTCATTTTGAATCCAAAATACTATTACATTAACTCTGCAGGTTAAAAAAATTCAAATGAGTATTTTGAAGGTAAAATCTTACTAATATGATCGTTTATAAAGTATTTTGAATTGTAAAAAAAGCCATGACCAGACGACAATTAAAAAAAAAATATATAAAGCAAATTCCGAAAAAACAAGACATATTCAGATTCTAAAATATGCATCAAAACAAGACGAGACGTGAACTGCAAATTTTCGACTGTATTTCAAAGTCATCCTCAGACAGAATGATATTTAAAACCATACATACACATATATATTTACAACGCACGAAATAAGTAAACGGAAGTAAGCAATAAATTGTCGGCTTTAAATTGTCGGCTGTTCATGGTTTTTGGTCTAAACTCGGAAACACAGACTCTGATTTACGCAATCAATGCATACGCTATCAAAGATCACAACGACGTTATGAGAAAGCTCTACTTGATTTGAAATTCTTAATCAATTGTAAGAATAATCAAGTCTACGCTAAATTTCTAAGATGGAAGAACATCACACAAATCCCCAGAAAAAATAATACGCATCAATATAGCTACTCTTTCTAAAAGCATTCGGCGCAGGATGTCTATCTTCCAAAATAGCCTGTTACGTTACAAGCGACATATACAAATTTTCTATTCTGAAACCATTGCGCGAGAACAATTCAAGAATGTTAAAATTTCAGTTGGCGTAATTGGTAACCTGATTCATTTTCCCCTTTCTATTTTAGAACATGCGAGAATTTGTCAAAACACATTACTTTATCACTGACAGCGCCATTTTCTCTCATTTAATACGATGCAAAACCTGGAATGTATAGCTTGTATTGTTTTATGGAATATGTACTGTTTTAGCTTGTTATTATCTAACAAATTATTGTAATTTACATAATTATCTCAAACAAAATGAAGATAAAAACCCCAGAAAAAAGATGAAAGGTGAAAGCCGAGCATTAAGATTATTAATTAAAGAAAATTGCACAGTAGATTGTAATACACCGCCATTCCATAAATTCCATCTCAGTAAAACGTGACTAATATATGTTATCTCTCACTAATTTATCACGACATTGAGTTTTGTTTGAGATCATACACACATTTTTTTTATCACGTAAACAAGACCATTGCACATAAGTTAATCAAAAATTAAGTAATCTGGAGCAAAATATAAGGGAATTTCAGTTGAGCTGCAATGTAGATTATAATTATCTGTTTGTTTTCAATGTTAGCTACATTGCCACGACATCTATATTATAGGTATATGAATGAGACATGCAGGGCATTCAGAAAATTTAACATGCATTTTCTGCACGATTAGTATGAGCAATTTAAAAAATGTTCATCCTTAACATAATATTTCTGAATTGATGAAAAGAATAATTTTAAGATGCATTTTAAGATGCAAACTTTTCTGTGTTTGGCATGTTTGGCAAAGAATAATTTTAAGATGCACTTTGAGATGAACACATTTTTACACTAAAGCTATTTTTGTGTTTTGCATGCTTCCGTACACGAGACTTTTCACATTGAGCAACATTTAAAATTAAAGAAATTAAGATTGAAATTCCTTTAAAACTTTAACGAAGCACGAATCATATTAATTGCAACCTGCAATAAGGCTTATTGAAGAAATTGCAATTTTTTCTCTTCAATTCAGCTTTGAAATTATGTCATAAAATATCTTTCATCTTAAACAATCAATCACTTTGATTCATTGTTTGATTTTTAACTTATATATCAAGAAACTGGTAATAGCTACAAAGAGACAATCAGGTCGAAAGCTAATCGCATATTGACTATTCCTAAATTTACTATTAAATTCTAGAGGCAGTTTGATGTTGCTTATTGCTATATAACAATAAGTATAAACAAATACATCGAAATGTACATAAATCTTTGTGAAGGTTTACTTTTCACTGAAGTGAACAAGTTTAAGTGGTTCAGTGAACGTACCTGACTTTTGTTAAACGGTTAAATCAATATTTGATTCCCAATTTTGCGCAATCTTTAATTATCGAAATAGCTCAAAAGACGGTAAATGCCTACTTTATAGCTCTAAGTTAGAGACTAGGAAAACAATTTTGTTTGATTTACAAGCACTCTTCTGGTACAATCTAGAAAATAATTGCAATAGAGTTTTCGATTGAGAAAACATACAAAAGAAACAAGTAATTTGCAAATTATGAAATAAAGCAGTCCAGTTGCAATGAAAGACCACACAAACCACTAAAATCAACATCATTGATTCTTATACTTGACACTTACATCATGTTTCCTAGCTCACTGATAAAAGGATCATAATTATCAAAACTATGAATATGAACTTTAAGATGCATTTTAAGGGGAATTTTGGTAAGTTGAATAATGTTTGGTAAGTTGGATAAGTTTTTTTTTGTACTCAAGATTTTGAAAGATGACAAACTCTTTAAACGAAAGAATAATTGAAAAGCCTGTGGTGAATATAATTGCAAACAATTTTATTAATTTTTACAACCAATCTAAAAAATGAATATGTTGGAATTTGCATGAATTTTTCATGTAGCTATTATAAATTCATGAAGGAGTTATTTATATTCTGCACCCTAAACTAAATTTTCATTTTTAAGCTAACTGCCTTTAGGAAAACATTGTCGTTGATGGTAACTTTCATGGTGCTTACTTAAAGGTATGAATTTGAACATACAAATCCTAAATATAGCTTTTAAATAAAAGCATTTTAAAAAAGTGCTTTGGAGTTAATATACAGTTGGTGTTAAAATTCTTGAAGAAAAACGCAAATTTTCGCTTTTCTATAGTTGTTTTGGATTAAAAATAATGTCAGTTATCGAATATATTTTAATGATATTAAGGCTTTATTTTGCTGTTGCTACATTTCTTTCACAATTATACAACCTGTGTAGTTTTTGTTCACAGTTTTCTCACAAAGCCGTATGCATATATATATACATATATATAGGAAGTTTATAGGTGATGATTCTCCGTATAAAACAGTGCTCGATGCCCGAGAGAATATATATACAAGATGACGGAAGTTAGTATATTAATTAAGGTAAATAGTTACAAGTTAGATGACGGAAGTTAGCGTATTAATTGAGCTGTATAGTTACGAATTACATAGGAGAGTTTAGATCTATGGCGACAAGAGGAAAGAAGTTCGTTGCTTTTATTGAGGGAGGATTTGGATGGTTGGTAAAGGATGAAGAATTTTTCTTTGATGCAAAGATTGCATCTTTTACTAGTGCTGTTGTACGGTTTGCTGTGGGTGATGATGTTCCATAAGATGTCGTGGTCAATGTTGCTGTCTTTAAGGGTCCAAATGTGGTTACTGAGTTCGATCGAGTCTCGTAGTTTTTTGTGGCGGAAAGAGGCAGTGTGATTTCTATGTCTAGTCATAAATTCGTTTTCTGTATGTCTATTGTACGTCTCAGGTGTGTTATTGTCCTTGCGTTTCACAGTAGCTTGGTAGACGACGGATGATTGTAGGCAGTTTCCGTTAAGTGGACAGTTTTGCTTTTGTCGGCAGTTTCATGTTTTTGTTTGTGTTTTTTGTTCGCGGTGTTGTCGTTAGTTTTGTCTGATGTTCTCAGTATATGTTTGTTATGATTGTTGATTATTTGTTCCATATTGTTCATGCAGCTGTAGCTGAGTTTGATGGTGTTACGGTTGAATATTTTCCTGAGTTTATGGTCTATGGGGAAGTGAGAATAGAGATTCAAAAAAATCTTACTTGCAAATATGAAAGTAAAGCTAAGATGAGCGGATCTGTTTAAGTCAGATAAAAAAGCCAATATTTAGTAAGTTGACCTAGCGTAAAACAAATTGAAACGTGATAGAAAAGAAATTTTATTGCCACCGAACAGCATAGTAAGTTCAAGTTCAAGCCAGACTCATGTAGACCTGAGATAGCTGAAGCACCATCAATTTGAAGAGCTAGCAAATCTTTTTTCCTTGATTAAAAAGAGAAAGAATAAATTAGACAGTCAGTAGAGAAAGTCACGATAGGTGGAAGAAATCATTAGTTGCAACAAAAAATAAAAATTGCTACAAAAGACATATACATGTTTCTAGATGTACATTGTCCAGGTTAATAGGGTCCTGAGAAAGACTGTTGGTTTTAATGTTGACTGACGTTTCGAAAACCTTAGGCCTAGTTCAAACGTAAAACTTTACATGAACCTAACGTATTTAAAAAAAAGATAATGAGGAAGTTTATCTCATTTTGTTTTATCCTGAATGCATTCGGTGCATGTAAAGCTCTACGTTTGAAACTGGCCTTAGCGGCACTTATCTTAGACTCAAGTGACAAAGTTGGTTATGCTATAGCTCTTTTAAAGACAATGGTAAACATTAACAATGATAAATTTATGGAGCTGCTATATTCATGGAATATAAAGTTTAAAAATGAAGAAACTATCAAACTGAAGTGACAAATTTCTAACTTCATCCATTGATGCACCTCATCCATGGTCACAGAAAGTCAGCAAAATAATCCACTGTTTCCAACACCGAATTTGCCATTAATATTCGATTTTCAAACAATGCCAAACTTTTAACCATCGCAAAATTTCCAATGGATGCCATCAGCAAATTTGGCTTTATCAGCATTTCATTGCAAGACCTCTTTCATATCTATTCACTAAGTTTGCATTTTAACCATGTGAACTTTAACATGCAACCACCCTTTCGAGTAACTCTCCAATATGATGATATGGATCGTGGATTTTTCAACAACAAAAATTAAAAATCAATGTCATTGCAGTTAAAAATACCATGATTTTTCCATTAATTAATACATTGAAGAATAGAGTAAAGTTTCATTCATCTTTTACCATGGGTGTCGTTTTAAGCTGACGCTCACGCGTGCAAATTCTCAAGTGTAGAAATTGAGTTCGACTGTGTAAATTTAATTCAAGGTTGAATCAAATTAATAATTTGCTGCATTCTGCCGAACATGCTACAACTTGCACAGCTTAAGAGAAATTTGCCTTTTAAGCTAAGCCTAAATATATAATACTCCATCATCTTTTATTATATTAATTTCTAGCTGTAAAATTCAAAGACATTTTCAAGAAAGTATTTTTAAAACAAAAGAATTGCATGTTTTGAGAACACTGTTTTCAGACTACACTTTTATTATATGAAAATTGAGTCAAATCTTTGTACTTAAGTCCTTGTCGATGTAATTTAATGAATTTGCCTGCACAATGTAGAAATTACTAATTTTCACAACAACTAACTTAGTGCACAGTTTTCTCAGCTTAAGCTCCGTCTTATTTTACTTTTTTCAGAAAACAGTTTTTTTACGCTTGAAACCCGTTCTGCTTGATTCCTTATAGCATATAAAAAATTGGTATCTTATACGCCAGACAAAGTTGATCGCGGTTCGGAATCGATCGGTGAATAAGATTTTTTTATATTCTACTAAATTAAAAATTTTTTTGCCTAAATAATGCAGATCACATAACCTGTTTGGCGAGGTAACTCGTTTGCGTTGCTTGGTCAGTGAGTGTCGTGGCTTTGAATGCAAATAATTGTTTCCGACCAGTTGACTTTATTTAAAGTCATTTTCGTTGTATTTCATAGGTTTTTTGTAGAAAAGAATGAATGCAAATCTAGAGAACTCATCAGCTGGTAAATTGTTTTCAGTTTAATCAAAGAAATAAATACATGTAAATTTTTTTCATGAAACTGACTGCAAGTGATCTCCCATTGGATTCTTTTAGATGAAGCTTTGAATACAATTCTACCAAGAATCGTTGTACAAGTTAGCCCATCGTATTATTTTGTTTTTGCTGGTCATATAGAAAAAATAACCCAAGCTCTTAATGAAGCTTGCCGAATGGGATACGACGTTCTTTGTAATGTATGTTTTCTATATTTCTGATCACAAATGACAACTAGCTGTTTTTTTTAGAATGTTCTAAATTCGTGCTTTGTTATAGCTAGTTCTTGACGATATAAAACTAACATGATAAGTTATTTATTTTCTCTATCAAAAAAATGCTTTCGCTTGCATCTGTAACAACCATAAACCTATTGAATACAGTCTACATTTCTCAAAAGGACCCTTTAAATGCAGAATTCGCTTTGAACTTTTAGGGTGGAACAGCCGTGGATGCTGTTGAGAAAACTATTTGCAGTATTGAAGATAATTTTTTCTTCAATTGTGGTTATGGATCATTCTTAAATAATGACGGGGATATTGAATGTGATGCAATGATAATGGATGGTAATACTTTAGACACAGGTAATGTAGTTAGTACACACATGGTATTATAAGATAAAAAAACAGTAAATTGCCTTCGCTGACTGACCAATAGCTATGTTAACATTAGCCTACACAATACAGATCTGAGATCAACCAATAAAAATCAAACAACCATTCAATCAATCAAAGAGAATTTGCAAATCAATCATGAATACATTTTAGAGGAGTATTAAAATGTTTCCAAAGTTCTCAATCTGTTTTTTCCCAATTATTTTGATTTTATAAAAGAAGCAAACGATGTTTTTTGTGCTTAAGGAAACCTCAGAGACGTTTGTGAGAACTTTCAAGCATGTGCAACTCTCGACCTTTGGTCTTGGGCTTGCACTGATCTGCTCTTAAGTTCTCCAAAAGGTCTCCTCGGTTTGTATAAGCCTGTGTAAACACAGTAAACATCTTTTATTTCTTAACTATAACCTGCAAATTTATTGTTTGAGTAGCTACATGATAGGTTGAAATCCGTTCATTAATGTCCCAGTCTTTGAAAAAAATCACCTAAATTACTATTATACAGGTGCAGTAATGGCTGCTCGAAACTTTAAAAATCCTGTCGCCATTGCTCGACAGATAATGGAAAAAACCATTCACAGCGCAATAGCAGGAGACGGAGTTCTGGATTTTGCTAAAAAAATTGAATTTGAAACATGCACAAATGACCAACTGAAGCATCCACAGGCAGAAGAATATCGAATCAATTACGATCAATTACCAAAAATCATTGAAAAACATTTTGGTGTATGTGATTCCGTCTCAGCTGTTGCAATGGATAAAGATGGGCATTTTGCATGTGCACTTTCTTCAGGTGATGGTTTGTTTTACAACTAAATATTCTTATTTCCGCCTATTTAACGCCAAATTATCCCTTATAAAGAAATCTTTGACCAGAACCATAAGTTATGAGAGTATATAGGCACAGAATTGCGTTAAAATTCATTAAATATGCTTTTGATTAATATACAAACAAAACCAAAACCGAAAATTGGATGGTTGATTCATCGCTGAAAATTCGAGGACTGTTCATGAACTGCAAAAGTTGTTCCTTACGCGAAGGTTTTTAACGTTGGAATCGATGACTGGTATTTTAACATTTCATTTTCCCGCCAAAATTTTGTTGGTCTTTAGTTGTTATTGTATATTGACAATAATTCACGGCCAATACCATATTTAACATCACACTTTGTACTTATGACTTAAAATACAGCCATAAAATTTGTATTTGTTAATTTCAAATAGAGAAAATTGAAAAATTCTCATAAGATCACGCACTCAACTTTTAAGCTAATTTGGATTTTTTTCTTAGGTGGTCTTCCAGGAAAGCTTAAAGGCAGACTTAGTGAGGCCTGTACGGTCGGGTGTGGTGGTTACGCCAATAAATATGGCGCTGCAGCAACTGGTGGTTATGGAGAGGCAATAAGGAAAATGACCTTGGCAAGACAAGTAGTTTTCAATATGGAGTCTGGACAAGATGCTCAGGTAGCTGATCAAATGTCACTTCAACGCACGGGCATTTTACGATAACTGAAAGTCAGGAAAGAATGAAATAAATTTGTGTATCTTTAAATTTATTTTTCTACGACATAGGCCTCTGTTAGGAATGCGTTGCAACTGATGAAAGAAACCTTACCAAGGAAAGATTTTCCTCTTGCTTCTGCAATTTCAATTGATTGCAATGGTAAAATTGGTGTGGAAAGTGAAACATCCATACTTTGGTCAAGCATTGCTGGTGGAGAAAAATGGTGTGGCATGAAGATGAAGCCAAAAAAGGAATAAAAACACGCCAACAAATAATATGAAACAACACATTTCTAGGAAATAACCCATTGCACTGTTTATCTTCTATTTGTAGTATTTTTTAATCCAAGCCTTTATGGAAGATATTTTTTTTCTTGACAGCAGACGTTGAAAAATATATCTTGGCGCAATTCAAAAATTATGTATTTACTCGAAGCATTGCACAAAAATGAGCAAAAAGAATTGCAAGTTCTAGTTTAGTTTTTGTTATCTTCATTGTTCATTTTCTTACTTGATGAATAAAATAAATGAAATCATACGTACGTTTGTACATACGCATTTGCGATGGTTTTTTCATTCCTCAAAAAAAATCCTGTAAGGTCAAAAAAATTTCCTGGCATGATGTTGCCATGCTGAAAGACCTTGTTAAGCCTTCATTTAATCTACATCATTTGGGCATATTACTTTATTTGTAACCACGAAAAACTTGAAAACTTTCAAAAAAAGAATCAAAATATAAAAGCAAACTTGCTCACTATCCTATGAAAATCACTGTATTTTCTCAAAAGCTAAAACTCGCTATTTTAGACTTTCTAAACGAATAATCGTGCACGACAATATGATGCGATGTGTCATACAGTTGGAAGATAAATTCTAGTGTACGCAGACCATGGACTAAACTTTAGTGCGCACAATACTTCATGCAAAGCTAAAAACAATTTTGAACAGAAAATTACAAGGTCGACGATAAAAATGTATAAAATAAATTTAGAGTAATCAATGATGATATTTGGGAGTGATTAAACATTAATAAAGTAGATACAAGTCGGATCATCAACAACGAGCAGTCCACATCCTTCAAACATCAAGTATTTGTTTACACATGTATGACCCTGTGTAATAGTGTATGATACGTATATAAAAATCCACTGAAAGTGGCATTATTAAGCATATGTCTATCACCTCAACCATCCTTGTGTGCACTTTACACGTATCTCACTCAAGTGTGAATGTAAGAATGTTTTGAGAATTCAGATGATAGAATTGATTACAATTTTCTCCTCCTGTCGCTAATTACAAAACTCATATTCCCTCTATCATCATAGTATTCCAATGTAGTTATATATTCGATATTTACATCCGAACATCCAAATTAAACTTTTCTGCACGTAGCAAGGACGGAGTATTTTATTAATATTGCCAAATGATAAGTAGAAAGTTCAATTATGTCTATCAACCAATAGTTTGTCTCAGTCCCTCTTTTTGAGTGCATAAATTGTAAGAAGCACATGTTTACCTTTATCAACAACATCTCCAGCAATACTGATTTGCATGCAGAGGATTTCAATCATTAATTTTTCTAATTATCAAATACTTAGTACTGCACAGTAAAGTTGAGAGCCTTCGAGTAAGTGAACATACAATTGAGATAAGCTTTCCTCCTCCTATTTGTTGTTCATTCGAACAATACCATAAAGATGAAGGAAGCTGACGTACCAAGATGCGAAAACAGAAAAAAACTACGAAAGTCAATTAATCATCCAGGTAGATGAGCAGGTATTTCGAGCACAACATCATTTGTTATTTACCAACCATTTTACCTAGATCTTGATGATTTTAAGGGCTTGCAAAAACTATATTTAAACTATGTAGAGTGTTTAAAAAAACAGGTTAATCGATTCTATTCGATATACATATATCAGGCCAATTTATGATGTATTGTCTGATTATGAGCTATTTTTATCGCAAAAGAAAATTACCCATTTGCCATATTCCGCCATTTTTTAAGCCACTTTATTATTAAAACTTTGTTAATTGAATTTTGAAACGTAACTCATAAAAATTAATGCCCAACATAAAGTTTTGATTAGAGCCATAGGAATAGACCAAAAAAACAAATTGCAAAATTAAATTTATTGTAATGTTTCGTCTTTACTCAAGACATCTTTAGACATATAATAAATAGGATGTTAAGACAAGATATTATATTTACAAAAAGGTGTTAAATTACTACTAAAGGAGGCGGTGTCAAATGGATATATGATAAGGAAGTTAGGAAGTAAAATAAAGAGCAATTAAAAGAGGTTAAGTGGAATGGAGTTTCCTCGCACATTAAGTGAAGGCTTATATTTATTGATTAGAAGGCTTTCATGAATGGAGAGTTCATAAGAATCGTTAGAACAGGAGACTATTTTAAAGTCGTCTGAGTTGGGGGTGTGTCTATTTGCGTTAATGCGAGCAAGAATGCTTGATCACGCAGGGTGGGAAACTTGGTTGCCTGTAAGGGGGAATATTCCCATTTCTTCCAAAATCTGGTGTGCAGATGACGTGTGGTTTGATCCACATACGAAGCGTTGCGGTTGTAGAGTTTTTCAAAGGGTGTTAGGAAGGTGCAAATGTTTAACTTTTTCGGTGGGATGGAAAAGTTAAACATTTTCATTCCTCCGATCACGTCCCTCTCTTTCTTGATTATCTGAACCGACAACACCCTAACATCACATTCACAGCTGAAGTCGAACAAAACAGAAAGCTCTCATTTCCAGGGGCGGATCTAGGATTTTTCAAACATCAGTCATAAAACGTTGGAGGCGCTCCGCACCTCGGGGGGGGGGGTCTGAGGCATTCTCCCCTGAGAAATTTTGAATTTCAGAGCCTTGAAAATGCCATTTTCAGCGTTTTAGAGCAATAAAAAATGTATTTTGTGGGCATCGAAAATTGTGCACCTGCCTTCCTTGCTTATTAGGTAACTGTTACAGAAAGTGTGACGACTTGAAGAAAATTTTTTTAATAAAAAAATATCTAATATTTTTTAAATGCAACCCATACGTGAAATAAAAAATATTCTGGTTTCTGAGAACACTGAAATTATAAGCAATCTACTATCAAATTGGATTATTTTATTTAAACATGTAGCTGGTGTATATAGATTTAGCAAGAATATTTTTCTAATGAAGTGGTGTATGCTCTAAGCTAATGCTCTGGTGTATTGTCTGTGGTTTAAAAATTTATTATTAAATGCAATTAGTGATCAATTTTTGTGCTGCAACAACTTGGTCATCTCACAGCTATCCATCTCAATTTAAAATCAGATGCACATACTTACAACTAAATTTTGTGCAGTGCAATATTTGAAAAATAAGTCATTGTTCATAACCCTTGTAGTAGCATCGACAAAGTTAAAAAAGCTGGCAAAACAACATTGTTGCTCTAAGTCAATCCAGAAAATTAAAAATGCTGTAAGTATGCAGGGGCGGATCCAGCTCAAAATGTGACGGTGTCTGGGGGGTCTGGGAACATGCTCCCCCAGAAAAGTTTTAAATTTTAACTCCCTGAACTGCGTTTTCCTGCATTTTGTGGGCAGAATACAAAAAAATACTGTCATGACTAAATCAATAAAATGATTGACTTTAAGAGTTTTTTCTAATTTTGGTAATGCATGCACGTCATGGATAAAAACGTATAATTTTGAAATTTCGTTCAGCTTCTTCTACAACTGCTGCTTGATTGCCTCTTTTTGTAAAAAGTTGAGAGTGCAGCATTACACAAGCCATAGGAAAGGCATTTTTATATGAAGTAAATGCCCTATAGTCATGCAATGATTTGATACGGGGGTGCTTAGCATAGTATGAAGCATTTTTATATAACTCAATACTGGTGAGGCACCACAGTATGTTGGAAAGATTTTCATTTGTAATCAGGGGAATAGAACAAGCATTTTGAAGACAATTTCATCAGCCAAAGTACTAAAACATGTTGAGTAGAAAGTATTCTATATATTTTACCTAGTTGAGGGAATTAAATCATTTTTTTAATGTTAGAGAATGATCATGTCCAAAGCAATGAGCTTCAACTATACAACAAACCAGCAATCTTAATGTTATGTATTGAGTAAGAGAATCATTATTTATTTATCTATAGGGTACAAAGCAACCAGCTTGGAGAATTGGTTGCAATTTTTCAGCAAACTTTAAAAATTGAGAAGGATAATTATTATTTATTATTTATATAACAATAGGGTACAAAGCAAACATAGAGAACACAGTTGTAGTGTTATAGAAAGGTCTAAGAACTGAAGAGGTTGCTCATTTGTATAACTATATGGTCAAAGCAACCCAATGTCAGGAATATAGTTGCAGTGTTATGGCAAGCATTAAAAATTGACAAGCAGTATAATTATTTATATACAACTTTTGGGTACAAAGCAAACACTGTCAGGGACACAGCTCCACTTTTGTAGCAAGCTTTATTAATTGAGGAGGTGCTTTATTTGTACATATATCTAGATGGTACAAAGTAACCAGCTTTTGGGAATAAAGAACTTTGCATTTTTATAGCAACCTTAAGTTTTGAGGAGGAAGCTTATTATTTATATGTTTAATTTGGTACAAAGCAACCAGTGAGTTTTGAAAATACATTCAAAAAGCGTTCACAAGTTTCTTCAGCTTCGAAATCTCGATGGAAATATCTTCTTGAATATCCAAATAACTGAAACTTCGACTTTGTTGGCTTGGCGCAGAATATCAAAACTCGCACTGTATGAGGCCATTGTAGATAAACAATGTATAATAATATTGATTTTGACAAGCTCTTTTTCCCATCTGCAACGTTGTCACAGTCATTGTGCAACAAAATTATGACTGAGGTGTCGATCTCATGGTGTCACTTGCACAAAAAGCTTGAGCTGTGATTGGCTTGACACCCTTTCACGGTGTCAGAAGATGGCAAATTGCGCAACATTCAAACCGCCGACAATGTCAACAATGCTCTATCACAAAATCGCAGGCTCATTTACGAGTAATTACGTAGTTAACTCCAAAGAAATGCCGCTAAATCCATAGATCTTTCAAAAATTTCATACGTCATAGCATGTAGCGCCGCGTCGACATTATTATTTGGTTATTTACGACAAAATTTACTATTTATTCGTGTTTTATGAGGATCGTGTTAAAATAATGCTGTGTAAAGTAAGAAAATATAAATCTATATACGTTTGAATGAAACATTAGAATCTTTCTCATATTATTTAAGTTCTTTGATATATTCAGTCTCTGTAATGCGTTATTGCATAATTTATAAAAATCTGACGGTGTCATTTTACACACATGACATCCCCTGAATATAAGTTAACAATCCCACATATTCTGAGCAAGTTTTCCACTTTGACAAACCAAGAATCCTGCAAAAAGTTAGGACATATTTGTCTAGATTGTATTTATATTTTAATATGTAGACTTATCAATTGCTATAGTTTTCATTCAATCAACACACAACATTAATAATTATGAAATTTTTCACTATGCTTAGAACCAGGGGCGGATCTAGAGTACGTCAAATCCGTCGCGCGACTGATGTTTGAAATTCAAAATTTACCTATTTATATTAATTAAAAATTCATTAATTGTTCTTACTTTATTATCGCATTTACTATCGTGATAAAAATCCAGCTTTATTTATTATTGAAAACTAATGACTAATGCAATGAATATCTCGTTGGTAACCAGATCAGTTGAATTTTAATTGACCTGGAATAACCGACTGATAAGCGGGGTGGCTTGACTGGTTCGACTGATAAAAGAGTCTGAACGCCAAAAACGCTTATTTCATTGGTCAATAGCCAGATCAGTGGACGATCTGGAATAATCTCGACCGATAAGCGGGATGGCCGGACCTATAAGGGAGTCCACTTGCTATCGTGTAATTGGTTCGTTTAAATTTTTGTCTTACTGTGATTGGTTTGACCTATTTCGACTGATAGCCAACTGAACTAACATAGTCAAGCTCACTCTCTGAATTGAATGTTTGATCGTTTCATAGTAATTTTCTAAGCCCCTGCTTAGAACAACAAGCCATTTACACTTCTCTTTATGATACTTCATTATATTTCTTAAGGCGTTTAGTTACTTTTGAACATTTTTGAATACACACATCACATTGTTTGTGATGTGATTATACAATAAAAATACATATGAAGTATAATACTGCCAATGCCCAATATGGTCAATATACAATGTAGAAAAAGATTAAAGAAAGAATATTTATTCAAACTTGAACAGAAACTTTTAGTATTTTGCATTTTTGTCTGTATTTAGTTTGTTAAAAAAGGCGATCGTCATTCGTACATTTTTATATGAAGGAAATATTCTAAAGGCTATGGATTATATGAAACTTGTCAATTGTATAATACTGGCTGCTGACATAAAATCATAAATGTGCAGGCGTGTACGTCTGTTAACCATTATCTAGTGCCGACCTATGCAAGCGTGGTATTTTCTCTCTTACAACTTTGTAACGACTTCGGACATATGTAAAACTGTCACGTGCAGAAAGTGTAAAAATTCCTTGTAATTTTCCCAGGATTTACTGTACAGCTGGATGTGAAAAGACGAAAGAAAATTAGATAAAATTCCTCATTATCTTTTGTTTTGAATGCATTCGACTGATGTAAAATGCGACGTATAAAACTGACCTTAATTTGTACAACGTCGTGTTGAATATATGAGTCTTAAGCTCTCTTTAACTCCTTGATATTATTTGCATGACCAGATTTATATTCCGCTTCACATTTGTCCATTTTACAGTTGGACCATTCTTCAGCGATCACGATCTTTTCGCCCTTTCTTGACAGCACAAACAGATGTAAACTGAGAACATTCTCGAAGCCTTGGATTTCGTTGGTTCCATAAGTCCCGTCGGAAATGTGAACCTCTCCAGTTCTTTCGTCCTTGATCAAGTTCAAACAGTGGCTGGTCTTCTCTGTGACACATCTCAAAATTGCTGCTGTATTCTTTGAAGATTTTAACTTCTCCTTTGCTTTTTCTAACACATCCGTGTTGTTGCCATCCAAATCAGGGAATATTGGTTCCAGGAAACCTTCGTCTTCATATTTACACACAACGTACGGACATTTCAAAAGATCATCATTTTTGTCAACTTTTTTTAACATTTCCACTAAGTCTTCAAATGATACCTGACTTGAACGACGGTACATTACAGTAATCTCCTCCGCAATTTTTTTTATCGTTAAAGACTTCATCAATTTTTGCGATGTCCTTGTAGGGCACATATTTGCGCCTTCCTCTTTCAGCAACGTCATCATTGCATTGCTACCACATGGTGCGTGATTACATGCAAGGACTCCTACTGGATCCAGTCGGGAGACCTAAAACATATTATATACTTTAGGTACAAAACAGTATCAATTACTTTAAAACCAAGAGTATAAAAGCTGACTTTAATCTTGTAAATGTTAGTATTTTTTTGTTCAATGTAAGTACTTTGAATCTCCTTCACATAGAGACTATTATTGAATGAGTTTTTAGCAGGTAATTATTTGATAATTTGAAAATTTGAGGTAATTATTTGATAATTTGAAAAGCAAATTCACAATTACATGCATCAGCTAACTAAAATAATTACAGAGAAAATTGCCATGATAAAATCTATAAACGAGATAATTGATTGAGATTATTGAGATTATTTGAATATTTCACCAATGGATTTTCATTCCTAAAATGCCTGTAGCATACAGTAATGCCAATATTAGATACATCTACTGAAACCAGTTACGTTTTAAGAGAATTTACAGAAAATTGAGGTAAGCTCCGTTTGTTTGTCAGAATCAAGAAGAAAAAAAAAGACGTGTGAAGTTGTGTAAAATTAAGATTTAGTATAAAATAAAACGAAAATGATATGTTATAGTCATTAATAATGACAGCTAGCGATGATGAATGTCAAGTGATAAATGATTTTGATATCATGAAGTTGTTACCAAAACATTTACCTGGTTAGAACCAAGCCGTTTCTCTTTCGAGTTTTTCCAAAATGATATTTTTGACATCAAAGATGAAGGAGTAAAGATTGTGCTCTGAAAAAAACAAGGTGGACTTAGTAATTCCTCGACAATTGGCAAGGTTTTTTTCAGGAAAACACGTCGAAAACACTAGCAAACAAACCGATAGCTTACATGGCTTATTAAACTAATGTGGTTGCTCCTCAATCAGATACTGAATTGTGTTTTCACATTCTCAAGCCCTGCTTTTTAGTGCTAGTTAATTAAAAACAGCTTTTGTTCAGTTGGTCCATAGTTTTAGAATTCAAAAGATTCAGTGAAGAATTTACCGGTTACTTTACTGAAAGCACTGTTTTGTTAGATATATCCTCACCCTCTTTCGACACTGTCCACAAATGAAATCATCCTGACATCATAACCAAAATTTGCATGTTCGTAATTTACTATAACCATAATTTATAAAAGGTTTTGGATTCATCATAATAATTCATAAACATACCTTACTGTTTGTACCTGGTTCGTGTGCAAGCCCTTCTCTCTTGATCTTCTGCAAATTTTTTGGCTGCAATTGACAAATAACCAAGCAATAATAAAATATACACATGTAACGTATCAAATGTACAAGTACGAAGGAACTGTGTTGTTTAGGGAAAGACTCACTTTAAAAATACATTATCTGCAACAAGAATTTGTAGTTTTGTGGGGAATGGAACCGGAGAATCTATGGTGCACATAATAAAAGTTAATACAAAATTCAACAACAATTAAACACTAAAACTTCAAACCTTCTGCTCATATTTTCCCAAGTACATTTTTCCAGTGAAAAATTCTATCCATAAAATCACAAGCGAAATAGCACTACATGTTGACATTCAACGTTAAGCGAGTTTATTTAAATGGTTGATTGAAGGGAAAACTGTTTGAAAATTGTACATACAGATTTCGTAAATCCTTGTGCATATTTTTTCTTCCAGTTCTTCAGACATTGAAGCTCAGCATCATCAATTGCAGTTCTGGATTTTTCTATGACATCTGCTAATTCTCGTAACTAAAAATTTAATTTGAAAGCTAAAAATGAACAAAAAATACCTAGCAAATATTATGGTCCATAATGTTCTTATCATGAAGTGACAATCATCTAACAATCCATAATGCGCTGTTAGCCAATCACAATATTTCAACAAACCTTTCAATTGTTGACAGTTTTAGTTTGGCGATCATCTACTGCGTCATACATAAGAAGCATATGAACTATAACACAAACCAAACTTTCTTGCTACATATTTACATGTGATGTTTGCATGGTTTATTTAAATTTCATTTTTTTGTTCAAATACTACCATAAACTCTTGGCAAATATATAATTGAATCATCGACAGCAAGTTTGAATAATCGTAATCCCTGCGTGGGCAGAAAAAGAAAAGCTAAGCAAATTAGTCCTATAACTTTCGTAGTTCTCATTGCCTGATGGAACTCTTAAAATATTTCCTAAGCCTTGTTTTAAAGATGGTTGATCACATCATCACAAAATTTATCTTTCCCGTACCTCGTTAATGAATTCCTCTGTTCTCGCCATATTAGCTACCTGAAAACGCTGTCAATTTAAAGCGTGTGACTTTTTCTGAATAAGAAGAATAAAATCTTGTTTAATGTATCCTTCTTTCCAATGCGGTTTTCTGTGGATAAAATGAAAGATAGTGCAATTTAACAAGATGTACATTATAAGTGCGGCACTTGATTTGACAAATGACGCATAACAAATTCCTATCATCTCGCGAAAAGAACAACACTAAAGGTATTTGTCCTAATGATCTTTCAAATACTCACTTTCTTTCTTTTAAATCGCAGAACAATGTTTACAGTTTTGTTAACTATAATGAAACGAACGCCTTTCAAACGAACTCTGTACAAAGTCTTTTTAACGAAAAAACTGAATACGTATGCAAAATTTTTTCCAAGGTCACATGAAATAGCACTTGATTATAATAACAATTGATTAAAATTTTTAGTTGTTTGAGGAATGTAAACATCTTGTTGTTGGGTATAATGCATAACGTAATAAAAAAACCAGACGCAGAAAAATATTTAGATTAGCTACGTTCACTTTCTTCTCCCTTTACTCATTTAATCTGATCTTTGGCAAATTTAATATTGAAAACAGCGTTTGAGTATTCACGAAAAAAATTAAATATTGAAAGTTACACAATTGCGTTGTGTTTTATCTGATGAAAAACTTAAAAACCCACAATGTGAATGCTGATGATACAATTTTGTATTTAATGCAAAATGCAAATTTTTGCTAAATGCAAAACCTAATAAGTGGTGGCAAGAGGTCAAACAACCCAGTGGAAACTATGAATTTAACTGAAAAAAATTGAAGACATGTTATCTACAGAATTAGATAACGATGAAAAAATTTTATGCGATAAAATCAACACATCCTTTATAAATGTGATGCAAGAATATTCTCCGCTATCTCCTGATGAATATATGTCTATGGATGAGAACGATCAGTTCATCGAAGTCAACAAAATCGAGGTTGTTAAAAAGTTAAGAAAAATTAGTCACTCAAAGGCCGGCAGTCCTGATGGTCTCCTTAATTGGGTACTGAAATATCAATGAGTGTTTACTTTATGTTGGCAATATCGAGGGCCCAGCCTCCCCTCCCAATGAGCAGACGTAATGCTCTAAAAAAACACAAAATCAGTGTGGAAACTATGAAGGCCAGAAAGGTAGAAGGCAATTTTAATTGACTACCTAAATATGTTACTACCAACCCCAACTGTTGTCGCGAATAATGTATCTGCTGATTGATGTTGTGATAATGTACAGGTACTCACTTGAACTAATGTATTTTGATATGGCTGGTGATATTAAAAGCGTTCGCTTGTAACAAATTTCTTCTTTGTTGAGGTCGCTGACGTGTCATTTATTTCGTTTTGTTTTTTTAACTGCGCAATATGGACTTTGAATTGTTTTTTTACACAATGATGATGCAATGTCGATTGTGATTGATTAAGAGCAAACAGATAGTTATCAATACGCAACATACACAACCAAAACATTGTAAATTATCTGTAGGTGACGTAATTTTTAGTATGAAAATTGTAAACGCAAAAAGTCTTATGGCGGAATCGTCGAGGTTTGCAAGCATTTCACAAACGGATTTGGCTTGAATTTTTTAAAATAATAACAGGAATAACACTGATGTGAATAACACGTTCAGTCAAAAAACAAGAGAAGATTTTGCATCTTTCGATCTCAAATCTCCTACATGTAAAGGTGGAAACGTTTTATTATGTTTAGAAACATCTACGATTAGTTCTTTGGATTTAGATACGCTAAGTTTCATTTTGTTCTGTGTTCCATGTGGGATGCTTTCGGTAGCAGTACAGTCATCGACTAATTCCCATTGACCCGGCCACCATTCTAAAAGATCTTTAATCATTACTTGGAAAAGTATCGGACACAAAACTGTTCATTCGGTTACACCACTGTTGATGGCTCGCCATTCAGAGACACAATCGTTTAGTTTCATGCTTTGTTTTCTTTCAGTTAAGAAGTTTCGTTCTTTATTTTTTCAGAGACTTTCATGTTTCATAACTTCTTTAGTAAAATGTTGTGCTCGATAAGATCGAGAGATTTAGAAAAATCTAGAATTGAAACTCGCACTGAGTTACCGGTTCTGTCAGTTTTACAAAGCAAGTGGTAAAAGAAACTGATCAGACCGTGAGAAGGAGAAGAATTAGGAATTGATCTAAATTATTTTAGATCAATAACTTCCCATATGGAATTAAAAAACCCAATGCATGAATTCTTAATATTTTCACTCCTCTTTCCTTACTGACAACATTGCGGCCAATATGCGCGAGGATAAGTTTTTGCGAGACTGAGCCATTGAGTTCTATAATAACTGGAAGGGCTAAGTGGACTAGGGCGATGTTGTCAAAAACATGGATGCCACATGACCTATTTCCGCTGAAATGTTCGCTTTGCAGAAAAAATTACTCTCGACCTCCCCCTGTCCTTTATAGTAAATTATATAGGATTTATTAAAAACAAACACGTTTTTGTGTTATGTCTACTATAATGCCAACACTTTTATCGTTCAATTGTTGAATACCCTAATGAGCACAAAAAGGAACATCTCACTGTAACAGGTAAGATATTTGCTTGTTTTGTTTGTTCATCAAAGATTGAAAAGCAATTAATACTCTTAAAAAGACACAAAATCTAGAAGACCGTATTAAAAACACTGACTTTCATACCAAATATACTGATATTTTCCTGTTTTTTGTTATGAAATTCAATAATTTTACCCATCTATTAGCAAAATAGTGTCCCTGATGCCAAAATAGAGCCCGCACAGTTTCTCAGTGAATAGATAACATGAAGAAACTGCCACCTCCACCAGTAACCATAAAATGGAGCACAATTTGTTCTGATCCTATTTGCTGACAACACAAAGCGATGATCAGTTTGCAAAGTGTTTCAGGAATATGATGCAGGATTAACACCATTTCATCATTATTTCAGGAGTTTTTGACCATGGTCTAATTTTAGGGATGGGGACGATATATTAATGATTCCTTGAATGCTTTGAAAAGAAAGTAAAGGTAGCAAAGAAAGATGGCGAAGCAAGGTGGCTGTAAGCGCTTGGATACTTGATGCAATGTCAATTCACAGTACTGTAAAATGGTCATTAAGTTTGTGTTTATGTAGATATTGATATTGATACTGAGATTGATGATTTATGACTCACTTTTTTATAAGTAAATGGTCAAATCATGTCATATCTTTATTAAAATATTTCTGTAGAGTGTTGTTTGAATGTTACTAATATCTAATGAATGCTATATTGAAGCATTAAAGAAAACTTCAAATTTGTAGTACTATATATTTCTTCCTTACTTCAGTTTTTACCTTAAATGACATTTTGAGCTATTTACCTATTATAGCAAAGAATGGACATGTGGCATTTGCTTTATTTCCTGCTTTTTTAAAAACGGGAAAACTTTTTGACTTTTCCAAGTGCTTCTTCAATTTTTTGCATCGTGAGTTTGTTCACGATATGGATGAGAAACAGGTAGTACAAATCTGTAACTATATAATTTCTAAAAATCTTTAAGGTTTCTTTAAATTATAGATCTAAATGTTTAACTATTAAAGGTTACTAGGTAATTTGTATACAATATTTATTTTTATTTATCAATGACCTATACCCATCATCTCTTATGCTAACTTGAGTCGTTTAGAAATTTAAATGAAAATTAATCACACAAAATCAAAAATATTGAGTCAAGAGGTAACTTTTCAGCCATTTATTCATTTATACAGAGTGGCATGCATGTACAAGAGCAAATCTTACAATTGTGACGAAAAACCAAAAGGCCATTACATGAAAGAAAGCAAAAAAGTAATGAGAATGAATGACTCAAAATGAGCTAGCACTTCTCACGGCAACCGTACAGATAATCCAAGATGTACTTTTTCTTCGTATAAACCATAAAGTTTAATAAGGCAAACAAGTTTGAATGTTGACGTCGCTGCGTCGTGCATCTGCTTTGATATGTAGCCAGCAAAAAGCTTCTTCGTCGGTAGTTATAAAAACGCATGTTCGTAAGAGCCGACAACTAACAACCACAGTTGACTCGCTGTTATGAATTTCAGTTTTTTACCTTGATTTTAGATCATAAGTTTGCTTGTCAAATGCCAAATAAGAAAATACTTTTTGCTGGACAATTTTCGTCTCAGGATCAGTGACTCAACGATTCGAAATGATCTTGCCGGTGCATATTCACAAAACATTCAAAATACTTTTCTCACTCTTTCTTCAGTCAGAAATTGCAAAATTTTCTACAAAGCAGTCAATTTCAGTGAATGTCAGCGGAAATAGATAAATTTTACCACCTTTTTGACAACATCTGATATCTAAAGCCGCTCTTGAGATAGCCGCTCCAGTTATTATAGAACTAAATGATGTGAGCATACTGTACAATACCTATATAGTGGTTCAGTTCACTGATTCAGTAACAGACAATTTTAGGACCTGGAAATATTTGTTGAAACAATTGATTTTAAAATATAGTGTCTCTAATTTTACCAAACTAGTTAACAGCATGGAGGGCGAATTATTAAGTCCCATTAAATTACTTGGAAGGGAAAAGGGGCCTGGAACATGTTGTCAAAAACATCGATGCCGAAAGGAAATTTTGGGTGAAAACTTTCCTCTTGAAAAATTATTTTTGTCATTCACTCGCTCGTGATTTCTAAATACTGAAAGTAAAACCAGTGAAAATAATGGCGAAAACAATCACGATTAGAGAGAACACTGACATCACGAGGTACCGCACGCTAGTGTCCAGGACCGGGTATATCAGAATGCAATTTTCGTCAAAACGGTATTTTTAACCATTGATATTTTCACTTCTATTATACTTACACGAATACTATAGAAAAGCTAAACGCTCATCACACTAAGTGCATTCTGAACTTTTAACTCATACCAAAATGTACAAAGGTGAAACTTTATTTTATAAACACGTTGTGGAAACTTCTCCAATTGTCACAATTCGTTTTATTATAGATAAGTTTGCATAAATCCACTGATTTGTACTAGTAGTTCATTCGTAGTTCATATCCTGGGCTAAATGCTCTTGGTAGTTGGTAGCTCATGTCTATCAACAGTTCTCCCTTGTAAGCAAATATTGGTTAAAAGTAGCCAAATTTTAGCAAAAGACCAAATTCGTTTCTTAAGTTTCTTCATTCTGTATGGCATTAAGTGAACTTTAATATACACTGGAACAATATGTCAGAGGGAATTGAAGCAATATGATGGCAGCCATTTAGGTCGCTCTAGTCCTTTGGTAGACTAAATAGAATTTTTATATTTATAAATTTGCAAAAGTGAACTTGTCCTTGACATAGCTAATCGTTCAAACCACCCAAATATTTTAGTTCCATGTTAAATACACAAACTCAAAAGATTTTTAAAAATTGAGCAATTTGCAAGAGAAATGGTGTTTTTAGAAGCATATATATATACAGCTCAGATCATTACTAAGAATGCAAGATCCTCGCAAAAGAGTTTTAAAAGAGTTTAAAATCTTCATCTTATGAATTTACTTTTTTTATGTAAATGCATATGAAGATTATATTTTAAATACATAAAATTTGTTCTTTTACTGTCAGTGTAAAGCATAAAAAGAGAGAAAATAAAATAAACACATTCATAAAACGGGCCGGTAAGCTTAGTATATAATATTGTTAAAAGAAAACAATAAATAAACGAGGAAAATAGTGAGTCATCAAATAAGATATATCAGTGGAACAATTTTAAACGTAAAAGTCGTAAATTATAAACTATCAGTTTTACAAAATGCTTTAAATATTATATATTTTCTCTATTTCTTGTCATTCAGTCCATCGTCATTCATTGTTTTAGTTAGTCGATCAATCCCTAGATTATTGCCGATTATTTTCTCTTTACAAATATCCTGCTGTAGCATACACTAAGTATAGCGATACAATTTTAAAGCACAAAATCTGTCAAAAACAACAGTGAATATTTTTTCACGTTTGTCAACTGCCAAGAAGCCAAAACAAACGTCAGTTGCAGAAGAAAACAATTAGAAACTGAATTATTTCAGAGGAGAGTTGATTAAAATTTAGCTGGATGTTTGGCTTGAACCAATCACGGGATAAAACAATACAAGTTATGGTTCCAGTAAATTTTATACATTTCACTCGTGATTATAAATTTACCATGGTTACATTTATTACAATGATGTCTTTAGTAGTGTTAGTACGAGCATTGAGCAATCCTTTCTATTGCTTCTTATGATTCTGACATTATCATAAGATATACCATAATATATGATAACAAAGGCATAGTGATTTACTTTTTTCAAGGAGACTGGGACTTTAGGAATCTTAGATCTTAGGATTTCAATTAAATTACACTGGGGAGTGTAGGTCATGCAATGTTTATAGCTTTCACCAATCAATAATCTCATCAACTACATGCTGCACATTGTCCTTTACAATAGACTAACTTTTCTCAGCTATCGTGTACTGATGTCTACTTTCTTGGAGATTTTGATAAATGTCATGTAAAAATAGAACAGCATACACAATTATATGCAAAAATAAATACTGTTGGATCTTGTAGTTCTCCAATTTCTTTTAGTGCTTGCTGTTGTAATGTTTCTTGCCCCTCTGGCCGCTATATACAATAAACAAATATTGAATGAAACATTTTCCTACCACCTTTTAAAGGAAATTTATAAGTTTGGTCGTCCAAATTAAAACTCATGAAAATAAAAATAACTGCACAAGGATAAAATTTGGCACTGAACAGGAACTTTGTGAACTATGGGATATTGGACCGAGAAAAATCACCTTTTGACTTGAACACGTTTTCGGGCACATTTTGATCTTTTTCCATACATTTCTTTAGTTCTTGTTCCAATCTCTGTATTACATTGTTATTTCACGGACTTGCAACTCGAATCTTCGTCTTTCATCGTTTATTTTGCTAATTTTCAACTCAAATCTCCGTCTTTCATCATTTTTTTCGATAATTTGCAACTCCAATCTCCGTATTTCATCTTCTTGTTTATTGTTAGAAACAATGCAGGAACTATTTTTTGTAAAAGCTTCATTGTCACTTGATATCTTACTTGTATCACAATGGATTAAATTTTCCTAAGAAAGAGCAACTATTAATGTTTTCACTGGTCAATTATTTTGTTCAATAAATAGTACTGAGACACAAGTCTATTGTGTTCGTAGTGACATTGTTTTTTTACACTCAGGATTGAATCTGTGAGTTGCCATTTTAAGTAATGTTTCTATATGGAGCAACTGTGCGACTTCAATTATTTAAAAAATAAAACGTTTCGAGCATTGAATATTTGTTAGCTGTTATTCGGGACACTATAAAAAAATTATTTGTCCATGTATGGCAGGATTTTCTCTAAAAGATCTCAAATCAAGCAAGTGAAAATTCCCTCTTCGAACAATTGTGAGATGATTTTGAAGCCCCACTTTTATATGAGCCAGGCTGGCCCACTTTACCGGGTTAGCCTGGCAGTTGCAAATCTCGCCTCTTTAGTATTTACGTTTAATTTCAAATTTGATTCATATGAGAGGCAGGCTGCCTCGTAATGCCGCTTGAGCGAGGCTGGATCTAATAATAAACGGGCTCATGTGAATGCACTAGACGAGCTATCCCGGCATGCTGGGCCAAACATTGCACTAGAGCGCATGCTCATAAAATTCAATGTGGTAGAAAATACGGGCACGTAAAAGGACAACTTTCGGTGAGTTGTGCAAAGTTGTCCATAGAATAATGCATAACATTACAGAGTTTCTTTCAGCTTATGAAAGTAATATGAATATCGGGATTTGGACTTTTATCCTGCTTTCGTAATTAATTATTTCTGTACTTGCCGGGCCAGCCTGCCTCATGTGAATGAAATAATAAACTGGCCCGGCAAAGCAGCCAGCCCGGCTCATATGAACAAGCCCTTAGTGAGTGTGAGTCTTAACATTTAACTAATTTTGACAATCACAAATGAATATATCAATAGCCCATTGACGTCCAGCAATTGACCAAAATTTCGTTTTGTAAACCATGTTCGACTATGATATTATATTCCTAATTTTCTGTTTTGGAAAGCAAGAAAAACCACTGGCGATCAACTGCAAGGGTTAACTTAACAATATATTTTATACGTATAGCCAACATACTGAAATAATCCCTCTTCCGTAAGTCTCTTGAATCTGGTCTCCTATACTCTCTTCTTTGTTAGTGTCTGTAAATTAAAACAATAGCTTTTCTTCAGTTGGTCCTCAATGTTAGAATTTTAAGAACACACTGGAGAATTTACAGGTTATTATCGTTATACAGGACATATTCTTCTTCGGGCTAACGAATGAAAGCCCGAGTTTGAAATTTGGATTATGCTATGTTGGCGCGAGAATACATAAATCAGTTATGACTGATCCGAAGTCGTTGAACTAATTTAATTCCTTCTTGCATCGTTTCACGAGCGAGTGTCACTTAAGGCACGTATTATTATGAAATATGATTTACTTGCATGTTAACAATATGTTGCCACATTTGAAATCATTATAATACACAAATATAACCAAACACTGTTCTCGAGTTGCCCGAGTGAATGCCTGATAGGTGTCTTGTTTTGTGAAATATAACACACGACTGACAGGTCATTCAGTGAAACTTATTTGTGTTTATATTTACTAACCATTATTTACATAATGCACATGGTTTTAAAACATAATAATGTATGAGCATACTTTATTGCATGTTCTAGGTTTATTTAGTCTGTACGCGATCTTTCGATACAATAAAAAATAACTAAGAAATGATAAATATGTATGTGTATTTTAATGATATTCATTAGGGGAGAAAGGAATCTCTTTAAAATACACTGACTGAAATTTAATACTGACGAATTTGAGCCACTTTCTTGATTACAAAAGAAACTTAAACTTTGAAATGGTATAAAACGTACGCATTTATGCTTAAAAAAGGAAAAGGATCAAGCTCATACGGGTAATAATACATTGTTTTTAAACATAATATGCCATGGCGGAGTAAAATACAGTTTGTTCTCTATATTACTCTCAAGAAGAGTACTAACACCCTTTAACAGCCTAAAATTGTAAGAAAAACGGAAAATTGATTTGGAGTTGCATAACCTATAACTAAACTATATGCTTTTCTTAAAAATGTATGATGTTTGTTGTCGTGGTGCATCTTCTTGCAAAAATAGTCGTACTATGCTACTGCTGATTTATTTTATCTTCCCCAACAATTCATCAAGCTTCTGTTTATTCTCAACTTTTCATGTATACCTCAAAACTGTCCAAGTCTGTATCTTGCGCCTCGGCCATGATCTGACATAGAAAATGAATTTCACATTAATCGTTCAGGACATTGCCAACATGGTGCTCATTTCATTGAGAAGCAGCCTTTCAAGTGGAATTTTTGACAACATGTAAACAAATTAAGATCTTACCACTTTTATTTTTATACTTCGTAGATCTTCCCAACTATATTGAATGAATTTCAAGCCCAACTGCAAAAAAGAGTAAAAAATTAAGAAAATCAAAAAATTTTGTCGCAAAAAATTCTAAATATCCGTATTTCAAGTTCAAACATCGGAATAAATTATAAAGATCTATGATATGAAACACGTAGAGAATGTACTCTATTGTATGGAGTATAGGCAGAACATCACAGTGAACAAACGCACCATTACGTAATTATGTCTGGATTATTATGCCGGGTTTTATTTAATTTGAAAAAGTATTCTTATATGATTTTTTTTTAATAGAAGAATTTTCAAGATTTTTGATACAAGGAACAACGTTTTTGGCGAGCAGCCTCCTAACCCCTCGTCAAATTGTTGAGACGTCAATTTTTCGGGCATGTCAATTTGTCCATTTAATATCGTGCAGTTAATTTTATGAAAATTTTGAATCCAAACCAGCGTAATTTATACTATAAAAGAGTGAAATGAAATGCACGTAAATCTAATCTAAAGAAACTTATGCTCTAAAATGGTTGAATTGTAAATCCAATCTATGGAAGGCCTGCAAATAACAGTATCCAAATTTTTCGATACTTGGTGTAAAAATCGACATTTTGTAAATATCGACAAGTATCAATACTTGGTATCAGGTATCTTACAAACGAAGGTGCGAGAAAATTCCTTAGATGCTTGTTTTTGGTAATATTTTGTTGATTTGGTGATTTGGGAAGCTTGGCATAGTAATTTTCTAGTGATTGATAGTAGTACATAGTAAGTGATTGCAATCTAATATTTAGCGGTTTGATATTATGATATATTGCAGAAACTGATATTTTAAAGCACCAAGTCAGTGTTTACTAGATCTTACACAGCATGTACTTGTTGGTATAAAAGATCTAGGGACTTGCCACAGGGACAGCGGAAGCAAGAGACAAAGCAGACAGGACTAGCTTAACTTGAATTTGCAATCTCAAAAAACTGCAATTATGATCTTCACATGGTATGTTGCCTCCAATCATTTCTTCTGCTGAGTTAACCATGCGAATGACCGTTAAAATATGTTCTGACCTAATGACGTTCAAAAGAAAGCTTGCATAGTCCAAAATATGTAAATAAAATTTAACTGATAAGTTCCTATTCACATAAAATTTGCAACAATCCTCTCCATTCCGCAAATAGGAAATGCTGCCTATAAAACTGCGCCTGTTAAAAAAAGCCAATCTTTTGCTTCAAGTGTTACGTTGCTGTATTCATTTGGTAAAGACTTTAAACCAGACTACACATTTCGTGTTCCACTGAAAATATGACTCCAAATCTCGATCAATGCCAACCTAATACTCTCGTCCTCTAGCTCTTCCGATGGAGCTTTACCAACATTGGAGAACAACGACCCTTCTTCTCCTATGTTGGTATATAATTCGTCAAAACTTACTAGCCGAAGGTTTGTCTCAGAATTTAGATTTCTGGGTGGATGTCATTAATACGAGTTAATTCCTGTACCGCAAACCCCCCTGCCAATTCCCAACTCATGAACACAAATTTATTTACGGTGTGATGATAATTATTTGCTTATCTTCGTGGGGGGTATAAAACTAAACAATAATGGCAGGCACAGTGACACACTCTTAATGTAAAATGTGCAGTACAGAAATAGCCTTTTTTGTTGTTTTTTAAACATCCAGTCAATTATTTGATGTTGTCACGATATTTAAAATATCTACGTACGACAGTGTTTATGTATGTCGAGGATAGAAACCGTCTCAACGACATAATCGACATTAAAGAATCAAGTGCACGCTTGAATTGAATTGAAACCGAATAAAGCGTCTGTTGATTAACAGCTGGGCAGCAGTCATGATTATAATAAAAAGTTTCACTTGGCAGAGATTTTGAAAATTTTGTATCTACCAGCAAGCAAAGTTCAGAAAGTTGATAATTTTTACCATAAATCATAAATCTCTGTTTTAGTGTTTTGTTTGCAAATGTGTGTGCAGGACTGCAAGTGTGTTTATCATATGCTCATCATGCTTAAGAAAAACAAAATTTTCCATACCACAGCGCATGTAATAAAAAAAGACAATAAATGTAGTTTGGATGTGATAAGACAATGAAAAAATTCAAAGAAGAATATATCTATTATATATATATTGTCATTGCTGCTGGCTCATAAGTCATTCATTATTAGATAACTAGCTCACCCGGATTAAGAATTTTTAGTTTCTGGGGGTGCAACAAAACATTGTCGATATTCATTTAAGTTTAGTTTCACAGCTTTTACACGGATACATAGGTACATAATCCATTTATTTCTCGATTTTCTCATATTTTTATTCATGTTATAGGTAATACTATTTAATGTACACTGTGATTAGTTTCAAACAATGGGGGCTCTGGGATAGAGGTGGACAATTAGAATGAACTGGGATGGCGTGAAACTTAAGCTGAACTAAATTGTTGCAAAAGCCTTTTTAAGGAGTTTCCATGCTGGTTGTAGATGTTAAAATAAGTTAAGAAAAGTGATTCTTATCTTATGATGAGGATTCAAACATTGCATAAAATTACATTGCAAAGTGTATTTACTTCAGAATTCTTTTGCAGTCAAAGAATTTAAGGCTAAAATGTAAAATCACTAGGGCAACAACATTACCAAATGTAAAATGTATTTGTGGTTTAAGCATTTTTAATTTCAATTTTAAAATAACATGATGTAGTCATTGTTTTGAAGCTTTATTGATGCTCATTTGATTTTTCCAATTGATTATATGGACAAAGATATTTTGTGGTACTGGTGTCATAAAGTTGAAAGGCAAAGTTGTATGATTAAATTGCTCCATGGGAAATTTAGGGATCAGATATTTTCCATTACATGTGGTTTGTCAAATACTATTCATGGTATACACAATTTACTGGCATTAAAAGTTTTGCCTGAAATATTTCATGCTTAGATTTCAGTGAATTACTTTAATTAATTTTCAATTTCAGTAAATGAACAATTTTGAAGTTGTAAACAAGGCGAATTTGGATTGTAGATGGCATGTAGAAATAAGAACTTTCAGAGTGAGTTGTTTCTCATGGTCTTTAACCCAAAATCGTTAGAGAATGATTTCCGCTTCTTCAAAGACGAAAATACTTTCTAGTTCATCTAGCTTTGTGAAGTTGTTTGCTTATTAATGAATAAAGTCTTTAACACGCGATCGACAGAACTAGAAATTTATGCGACATTACAACGAGCTGGAGATACAAATTGCAAAAGCGCAGCACTAATTCACGGTTCACCTGGGATAAAACGACGAAAATGTAATGGATTATCAAATACTTACTTCTTTCCTTTAAGTTTCTTTAAGGACAATACTTAAGGGATTTGTTTGACAGTGATCAAAGAAAACAAACCGTTACTTTCAATAAAATGATTCTACGAACCATCTCGATGTTAGCATCTGTTGCACCAAGCTTATAATATGTATGCGAAAATTTTGATTAGAGCACAACATGGCCTCAACTTTACAAAAGCTGCATTAAATTAAAGAAATAAATTATAATAATAATTGTTGACATAATTTCGTAAAAGCACTATTGCTAATGCGCTTCTAATATACACGACGAGTTTTTAAACCTTGTATCATTTATTATTTCATTCATACTGAAGATGGCATCATGAGATGTCGAAACATGTCTATTCTAAAAACTCGTGTATATTAAATGCGCATTAATAATTGTTGAAAATTGAAGAGTTTCGTGGAATGTAAACATGTCATCGTAAGGTAATTCTTTACTGAAGAAGGCTAAATCTACGAAAAATATTCAATTGACTTTTTTTCTTCCCATCTAACCCATTTGTATCGATTTTTGCTGCATTTAGTATTTAAAACGGCGTGAAACTACATTGATTCAAGTTTTGATGAAAAGCTAAGAAATAAAAGATGTTTACTATTGTTTGATAAGACTTATGCAAACCGAGGGAGAACTTGAGCGCAGATAAGTACAAGCACGAGACCGAAATACATACACAAAAGATACATCGATATCAAATACATCCACAAAGACTTCACAGCCAAATATTTGAAATAAAGCCAGTTTTAAAAATGTTGAAACTCTTAATCACAATCGAGATGATTGGTGTTTATTTCAATTCAGTTCACTTTCATTTCAGTTTTAAAATAGACGTGGCTAAAATCAACTTTTCTCGAAGCTTTCTGTACGCTAAGCGTAATAAATGTCGATATCACCGTAAATCGTCAAAAGGCAGACATTAAAACTCAAAACTTACAGTGATTTTTCTTTTATTTAACAGCAGCATCTGCTGTCTATGTTTTATCGAGAAAAGGTAGCAATGACGTCTAAATTGTGCAACGCATTTAAGAATAACATAAAGTTTTACACTAAGACTAAAAATCATATAGTTACCCGCGCAATTTGACGTAACAATATTTAGTTACCAGCTTTCTTGCTGCTCATTATCTGACAAATAAATAAACGTTGTGCAGATCGTTATGTATGCCACCTGCATAAAACCATAATGATAGGCAATAATCTCGCCACAATCTTCATTGCCATTGTTATTACTAGGTTGGCTTCCCCCAGTTGGTGAAAACCGGACGACGGCCATTAGTAGTGTAGAATTTCAAGCCGAGGCCTAGGGCCGTCTTGAAGAAACCAATAAAAGCCTTATTTATCCTTTTTACTCATTTCTGAATAAAGATAGTCATTGTTTGTCTTTGAGAAGGAACTGCAAGTTCAGCACCTTTATCCAGACAATACTTTCTTGCATTAAGCCAGGTGGTTGTGTGATTACTGAAATAGTAACAATTTCCATGTACATACTCCAACCTATATGAGAATTTTAACTGTTTTCAAAATTTCTCAGTTAAACTAGTTTTTATTCTAAGACAATATTAGTGCTAAACTCTTATGTGCACTTACCATTCAACCGTCTCCAAGCACTTCCCAAAACAAACAGCAGTAGCAGTACTTTCATGTTGCTGTTCATTTTCTCAATGATGTTTTTTCTTTAAAAATGGAAAGTGTAACTTATTACTTGTGTACTCATGTATTTTAGTGAATCCTATTTCTTTGAGAGTATTTTATTGTATCGTGTATTTTTAGTGCTTCTCGAGGTGTATCCTTGTGCATCTTATTCGTTTAGTTTTCCTGTTCGAATGATGTAGCGTCAAAACGAAACATGTGACTATTACGACCCTAGTGATACATAAGTTAGAGTAAAGTAAACACAGCCAGAGGCCACATTAACTTTTATCCGGCATGTTGAGTGCCGACAGACTGTACCGCTGGTCAAAGAGCAAGTATTTTAATAAAACAGCAATGACAGTACACAAGCTTCATTAGTTAAAATATTTATTCAAAATTTAAAGGTTAAATTTCAACCAAGAGTAGTATCATAAAATCCACAATTAGTCTGTTCAGTTTTCTCAATGTGATTGATGAAATTAGCTTTCTTAAGAAAGTTTCTCCGCCTGGCCGGATTGAGACGCCCAACAGGCCGCATTAGCCCGCGAATCCTGGTGAGACCCTGAGTTAGAGTATAAGACAAAAATTTGTCATCAAATCTGGCAGGGACAGAGGAGGTTATTCCCCTCCCCGCCCTTATTAATTTTGCCGACGTTTTACTTTCTGAAAAAAGAGCCCCTGCACGCTTACTTTTTAACGAACTTCAGTGCTAAGAAATTCCATATAAAAGTGGCAGAAGAATGATGTAAGAAAACTTGGGACGCTAATAGTGTGAATTACATGATAGTTTATTGCTTTGAACAAAAGCAAGGCAAGATAGAATTGAGACCAATAAAGGTTGCGTTTTGGATTGATCGACTTGCCAAGCTAAACCCAGAGCGCTAGGGTGTGTGTGTGTGTGATTGGCGACGAATTCAAGTTCGTCAAAATATATAGTTGCAGCTCTTGATAGTAACGCTGTGGCAGCGTGTACACTTAGAAGAGGGGCAAGGACACAATGAAAAATGCAGTAGAAATGCTGAGCTTTTAATTCGGAGTTACGAGAACTTATGTCGCCGAGATAGGCTCGGTCATCCTGCTCTTATGGAAATTTTTTTTAATTCACAATTTTTTGACCAGACTGAAATGTTAAAGATCTGTGAGAATAGTTTGTACACATCACAATCTCGTTCTATACAAAAACACTTCGGTCCGATATTTCTCCGAAAGGAAAAAAACCTCGCGCTTGGTCAACAAGTAATAATGGTTGATTACCACTGATATTTTATGATAAAAGCTACTCAATGTTTGAAATACTCTCACTAAACTGAATAAAATACTAGTTTTAAGGACGTAAACATTCACAGAAATGGCGTAAAACGAATTTAAACTTCTGTTTTGAATTTGAAGACCATCTCTGAATTACCATAACACCTAGCGTATCTAGCAAAGAAACAGGTAATCTAATTTTCTTAACAGATCTTTTCTGATGGCCTCGAGAAATCTTAACTCATTTCCTAAACCTTTTTTGAGACATTGTCCATCACAACATTTGTGTTTTGCGTTACGCAAGTCATTATATATGAAATGGTTATGAAGTACTCACGTCTTATCTTTGAGTAGCAGGACAACGTTTACAAGATTTGGTTGACAGTACGGAAAAGCAAAACGTCTTTATAAAGTATCTTATCAAAGCGCGCGTCTTACCACTCAGTTCGACGATTGACGGATTTGACATACGTATGCAAAAGTTTCTTTCAGAGCGCATATGGTAGTTGGGTTACATGAAACAGCATTTAATATTAATAACAATTGATGAAATATTATAAAGTTTTGAAGAATGTAAAAATGTCAATGTTGGGTAATACTTCACGTAATAAAGAAACCAAAAAACACAAAAACATTCAGATGACGTTTATTTGTTTCTTTCTATAACCATGAACACTTTGACGAATTTAATATTGAAATTTTTTTGCAAATATGTTGGAGTTTTGAAAACAAGCACTACACACAATGTTTATGGTGAATGAGATGAAAGAGTTAATGAAACATGCGTTGTAATTATTGATGGTGGAATTTTAATAAAGTATATCGTTTAAGGCCGGGTCCATCGTTACATATTTGTAGATGTAGATTGTGCAGGTTAGTAGAATCCTGAGAAGGACTGTTGATGCTGTCTACAAACATGTAACACCAAATTATCTCATAAAATCAATTCTTTTACTTGTGACTTTTTGACAGTAGTTAATTTTCATTTCGTCCTTCAGTTTTCTCTTGCATCTAGTATTCATTTTGCGCAATTTAATGTTGCTTAATACAAATCAATCTTCCAATAACTCTTAGGCAATAATAAAGTCTTTAAACCTATAACGTTTTCTGAAATCCGGCAAATCAACTTTCGCTACATGTTAAGATCTGGAAAAATGGTCTTCACTACAAGATCAAGTCATATATATGTCATTAAGTTATACGAAAAGATGTTATTATTAGGCCTCGTGCATAAGCCCTTCCTTGTATAATCTAAACCGATAAAAACCGCATTTTAAGCATTTCTAGAAATTGTGTCAGTCAGCATGAGCATTTTATAACTTACATGCATGTCAAATGTCATTTCGTGAACAATTTCCATGTACTGCGCGTTATAAGTTGTCACATGGGTAGGGATAACGTTCCAGCATCAGCATTCAGTGCGTGCATTAGCAGCGTCTCAGCAATTTTGAGACTGACAATTTTGGAAATTTCAAAGTCAGCCTCGCCCGGAAGAAAAATAGCCGCGTCAAAACACTCATGAAAACGGGAAGTTTCAGAAAATGATATAACGAAAATTGTAAATGAACTCATCAGTCATCAATATGTCAGAAAACAAACATCAAATCCACCCCCCAATTCGTCACCTTCGAAAGCCTTGGCCAAGGTTGCTTATTAGTTTAAATGATGAGAAAAGAAGGCCAGAAGTAACTTAAAGCCTTGCAAAGGATGTTGATAAACTTCATCGCACGTAGCTCACTGAAGAAAGATTAAAAGAGAAACAGGGTTTTCCTTCAGTTAAAAAAATGTATGGCCATGGAACCCACCAGAGTAAACTCGGAAAATTTGCAACAGCTGCTACCCAAAAAGTGCAGAGCTTCTTACTAAATGGACTAATCAGTTGAGCAAAACTCTCCTCTAGCTTGCAGAAAGCTTCTCTAAGGCGAAAGCAGAGAATTACTTGTAAAACAAGCTCTTGATACTTTATCCTTAATTGCACAAGCGAATAGAGAGTTAAAAAGTGACGACGAGAATCAACTGACTAAACCTAAACTCAACAACAAAAATCTCACGTGTTTGACTTGTAGTGCAAAAAAATAAAATTCAAAATTTAAAGGAGACGAACCTGTATGCTGATTTTTGATGTGATTCTTGTGAATTCTGCCACTTGTGATGCAGTAAAAAGGTGATCACATCCCTCTACTCTCAAAAGTCCACCCTTGACACTTACCATCATTTGGCCAGTATGCTTTAGAAATGGAATGCTGGGTGCTTGCTATGCAATCTCATGTGATCTCATTGTTCTTGCATTTCAAGTCATAGAATTTAAATCAAACATCCGCATAAAACTATGCATTTTTTCATGTTTGAATTATAAATGATATAACTGTTTGGAACATAGGCTAACTCTCAGTTAATTGGCGAACGTCACTTTTGGTGAAACAACACGCGATTTAATTGGCATAAAAATATTTTTGGTGGTCTGTTAATTTTTTATAATGAACGGGTGTATTAAACGTAATTTCACTAAAACATAAATAAATTTCATGGATGAAAAATAAAATTAAGATATGAGTTATAAACGACAAATACCATTCCTGTGACAAGGCAAGGAATCATCTAAATAATGAAGGAATAAAACCAAAGGGAAATTAAAACAGCAAAATCGTATTATTATACTCATGAAATTCTATTTAGTTTTACTGTTGATATTTGTTTCTCTATCTGTTGTCAATGATAGTTATACTGCCTAGTAAACTACAATGCCAAAGAAATATGGAACTTTTGTAATCATTGTCAACAATAAGACTAGACTTGAACAACAACTAGATTTTGAGAAATGTGAAATTATACAAAAAATGACATGACTGGCTACTTGCAAACTAAAATGGTCATATTTTGCATTGAATTATATAAAAGTCTTTCGCTCAATGGGTCTGGGTTCCTTTTTTTGGGAGAGTTAGTGTGAGCTTAGTGCAATTTTTCTATAGCTTCTTATGATCTTCCGACAGTACATGAATCTATTATTCACGCAGCTCAGTTGTATTATGCAATGTGCTTTCTTTGCAATCAAAAATAATTCATCCTCATTATTATTATTATTATTAAAGATATACCATACGTAGCAATTAACTATAACGATACATATTTATACCAAAAGCTCTCACCAAATTTACACTTAAACAAACGATTTTTAAGAAAAAGATCATTGTGATTATATGATACTCAAAATTTTGACATCTTACCAATTAATAAACCGTAAAACTGTGACCAATTACTACATGCATTACAAAATTGATTGCAAATCACTATAAAAAGAAAAATCCAGTTAATTGGCGGAGTTATTGCTTTTATGCGCTTCAACATAGTTATTTGAACAAAAATACTCTTTGCACTTTGACCATTCTTTTTCAATGAGAGGTATCTTATCATTCTTATCATTCGTATAAGTCAATACGAGGATCTGTAAGCTGCGAAGATTTTCCAAATTTTCGACTTCGTCTTCGTTGATAGTAGCGTCGTAAATATTCACTTCTTCACCATTTTCGTCCATAATCAAGACGACACAATGACTCTTCTCGGCAGTGATATAAATCATAAGTCCTGCTTTATGCTGCGACACTTTAAATTCATTAATAGCCGTATTTAGAAAATACTGCTTTCTGCCAACACCGACCTCTTTTTTGAAGATTGATGTTAAGAAGCCTTTTTTTTGTAGGGCAATAAGTATGTTGGTACATGGCATCACCATCGTTTTTTTTAGTTTTGCTAGCACTTCCTTCATTGGCTGTTCCCAATCCTCATTTACTTCCTTCATTAGCTTTTCCCAATCCTCATTTACTTCCTTCATTAGCTCATTTAGTTCTTGCTCATTATTCAGCAACTCCAAAATTTTCATCACAAACTTGGTCCCCAACGAAATCTGACCCAATTTTTGAATCAGCTGTACAGGACAGAAATAAATTTGCAAGGTAGTTAACAACAGTAGTAGGTTAGCCAACGCACATGGTGCAAATTTACAAAACAACGCTTTTCCATCGTTTTTTCTGATTTCTCTTGAAATTGAGTCTGCTTTCTAAAGAAATCAGTTGGGTACAATTGAATACATGAATAAGTACGTCCCTACTAGTTACGTCCTAGCTACCAGGCACGTTCCAGCTACGCCCCTGTTGTTTTACTCAAATTGAGCTTTTTGCCTCCTTGTTCTCTTAAATGTTAAATTATCTCCTGAATTTATAGCATGCAGATTTTAATTGCAAAGTATAAAATACAACAGAGGACAAATGACATATGACAGATGCACAATTTTTTAACTTAAAACGTTTCTTAAACGTATTTCCTCTCTTATGATGTTTCTTATAGAGTATTGGATATTATCATGTGATTCATGACTTATACTAAGAAAAGTATTCTGAAATTATATTGTCTATAAAATAATCGCAACAAATATACTCATACATTGTACAGTGATGTACACGAACTATTCCATCAAAATGGTTGCGGAAGATTTGAAATTTTAGATAATATAGAAAAAGTCAGTTATTGTTTCCTTATTGAGCAAAAATGTGTCATCGTTCTCAATAGCTTGGCGTTAAGAGCTTTTTCAGTCAGCAAAATTCTTAATTAGAATTCAAAATGTCCTCACGAAATTGTATAAAAAAATGTTTACCCTTTTGATGATTTTTAAGGAATGTGCGAAAGTTTGTAAATCTTGATTGCTCTTTAAATGATTCAAATGGTTGCTATCGACTTAACTCGAGTGTACACCGTTTATTTCAGGCTCCTCGCATGAAGATTCAGTAATCTCATTTGTTGGAACAGCAGGACCTTCCTCCATCTCATAGTATGTGTCACATGATCCATCGACCTACAAGTAAACAAAATTCAATAAATAATATTGACAAGAATTAAATTTTCAAAAATTTTCCATGAAAGTATATATTGTAAAAACTGAAAAACACTACAATACTTTGTCCATCCCCAATGACGTCGATTTGCTCTCGCATGATTCATTAACGATGTTAAGTTTATCATTGTCTTCATCAATTATTTTAATTAGTTTTTAGTATTTACTTTATACATTGTACCAACACACAAAAAATCTGAAAATAAGTTAGTAAAAAAAATGCACCTAATTCAAACTCACATAAGAAATACCCTTTGCAATAGGTTTTAGTGGTTTGACATGGATTTTGTTTGGTCTAAGACATAAAAATGGTTATTTGAGAATCTTAAGCAACTAAGATTAAGTTCAGATAGTAATAGTACAATTCTTTCTTTCTATAATACAAATAAGAACAGGAAACATAAAAAACACTGCTGAGGGGCAATATTCATATATGAATGTTATAGTTCACAGGAAACAATCAATTTCAAAGTAGCTCGATACGCCAGAACAGGAATATATGGATATATGCCACTTTTTGTAACAAAAGCTTTTCTACAGTTGTGTTAGTTGGTCTACAATTTTAGAACTAAAGGGAAATTATTGAAAATTTACAGTTTACTATACCAGAGAGATTGTCTCGTCAGAGACATCCTTGCAAAATTCTGTCTATAAAGTAATAATTTCATAATTAACATAATTATGTAAATTAGTTCCATTTGTGTCTGGTTGAGGTTGTATTTTTAAAAACAGCAGCTTTTTTTGTGTTGATCATTTATTTAAGAAATTAAAAGATAATTTGAAGATACCTTACCGAATAGGCTGTTTTGTAAGAGGCATCTTCGCACTCTTTCGACGACACCGTCTAAAAAACGAAAGTATTCTAACATTTTATATTGTATAATTTATAATTTAGTTGCCATAACTTAAAAATTCTCATACAATTGTATTCTGCCCCAATAATGTGTAAAATACCGTATCGTCATTTGCTTCATCGTTTTCGTGCCCAGGCTCTCCACTTATGCTGTCTTGCACACTGACAGCTACAAATAACAAATGAAAACGATTGATAAAGTATACACTCGTATCCATACATTTGAATTTTAATTCGATGTTTAAAAGCTATAAAACTAAGGCTTTAGTGGTGAAATATAGTTCAAATATCCCGTACGAAATACTCCTTTAAAGCATTTGTCATGAGTCTGAATATGAACAAAGCATTAACACTGAAATAGTGCAAATTTAAATTTTTTATATTGAATTATATTATAATATATTACCATGTCATAAAAATAGTTTTGTGTACATAATTTCCTAAATCTAGACGGTAAATTTTTCACGGTACACCTCATGCACTTCTACGTTCAATCATCCACTCTAAACCCATTCCAATTAAGATTTGGATCTTCAAAATTTCCTAGACTATCACCGACTATTGTATTACAAATCAACTGACCTCATTGTCCTTGTCTGACGAAATATCATTTACAACTGACTTGAGTATGTTCCTCTGGCTGAAAAATTTATGAAGTCATTTGAAATAAGAACGCCATCCATAAGTCCGTGCCAAGAAAAATAAAGATGACATAGCTACCGTAGAATCTTCATTTTGTTTATCACAGGCTTGAATTGCCAGTTGTCGTTGTTCATTCCTTGACAGCTACAAAGAACAAAATTTTGTACCATTATTTTCCAAAACATTCTATGCATTTTTGTGAAAGAATATTTTTACAATAGGTCACTCAAAAATCTCATGAAGTAAAGAAATAATCGCACAGAATGAAACACTTCCTTATATTTTAACGATATACAAACAGGAACAGGGATCTTGTGGACTGGTGAGCGTTGTAGTAGGGGGTCTCGCATGTAAAGAGGAGGGGCTTTTCTATAGAGAAAGAATAGGACTATGAGGGCTGGAAAAACTGGGTTATTGAGAAAAATGCCACTTTCAGAAAATGCAATCTGAGCCTTTTGTATAAATATCCTTCTTATCCAATAAAGCATAACAACAAAATAAACTTGGGAAATTTTCAGGAATATATACATGAACCTTATAAAATGTAAAACCCTGAGATATATATTCCACTTATCAAGTTTACGAAGATTATGAAACTTTGAATAATGCGCGATTAAAAGTTTTAGGAAAACTTAAAAATTCACCAAAATTAATTCTGTAGCCCTTTCGAAAGAAAAAGAAGTTCATATTTTCATTGAACAATAAACAATTGCTTTCCTTCAGTTGGTTCAAATTCAGATTTTTCACGACATATTTGAGAAATTGCAGTTACTATACCGGAGACATTGTCTTGTGAGAAACATTCTCAATCTCTTCTGATAATGTCTAAACAATTAATCCTCGAAACTTTATAATTCATAATTAACAAGCAAACAATAATTTCAAAATGTTTTGCTCCATCATAGTAACATATAAACATACTTTGTTAGTCGGTCCATTGTGCTCATTGACAGAGAGATTTCTCCAACGTTGTCTTTTGCGGCTGCAATAAACAAAAACAACGCAATGACAAAACAAGCATTTGCACACTATAATGATATTCATACGAATGTTGGGTGTGAAAATATATCTGACTGATGTTGAAGAACGACGAATTTTAGCCTTTGGAAATGGTATACAATTCAATTTTTTAGCAAATAAAAGTAGTGCTGATAAATCGACATGCCGAAATTTCACACTCAACTAGTCGTGGATTAAAATTCGAGATGAAAATGCTGTAAATACACCATATTCTTAATTTCATTTAATCATCAAATCCTATTTTACTTTTTGAACATCGACATTTTCATTGACTATGTTTGACTGTTACCCCTCTGACTTCATCTAACCTCATGAGCACTCGTCTCTTCTATTTCCATTAAATTTTCTAAGCCAACTAACGTTTGGCACAAAAAATATTTCTCTAGCTGTAGTAAACTGCTGTCCTGAACAGCGTTGATCTCGAATTTTAAGTGAAACAGTTTGGATTCTTTTTGGAAATTTTATTTTGAGCAGTAATTTTTTGATTTTGTACATTTCAGTAGGAGAATTTAGGTTTAAGAATAGCTTTTGTGAAATTTTTCGACTTATAAACGATTGTGCCACACGTTATGAAAATAAACCACGCTGCCAAAGCAGTTAACGTACAACTCAACTCGTACGTAGCTTATAGATACGACCAAAATTTTAATGTAAGAAGCACAATTTTTGTATAGATTGTAGTGACTCATTTTTTCTTTCAAAGAGACTGGCAACAAAAGACTAGCATTTTGGAGTTTTGAAATATTTTGGGACGTAGGATTTAATTAAATTACAGTTGTTGACAAATAACAGCACGGCTCATGCAATGTTTAGCTTTCACCAATTAACGAACCTCATCAACTACGTTCTGCACATTATCCTACAATGGGCTCATTTTCCTCAGCTATCGTGGACTGATGTCTGCTTTCCTATGAATTTTGATGAATGTGATGTGAAATTAGAACACCATCCACAATTATTTTCAAAAATATATAGGCATACTTTTGGATCTGCATGTTGTTCTCCGATTTCTTGCACTGCTTGTGCTTTCAACGTTTCTTTCCCATGTTGTGACTACATACAATAAATAAATATTGAATGAAACAGTTTCATACGCAGCTGCTATGTGAAAGGAAATTTTAAGTTTGGACATAAGAATTAAAATTTGTGAAAATAACAAATAACTGCACAAGAATAAAATTTGCCAATGAACAACAATTTTGTGAGCTAGGGGATATGGAGCCTAGAAAAATCACTTCCTTTATCGGGTTTAAGGAAGAGCTTTTTGTAAAAATATTTTCGACCAATAAATGATTTTGCCAGACAGTTATGAAGTTAAACTACACTGTTACGGCCCAGTAGTCTTTACTTAAGTCGGGTTTTTTGTCTTCTTGTTCACTTAATTGATAAATTATCTCATTAATCTACAACATGCAGCTTCTAATTTGCAAAGTATACGATACGACAGAGGACAAATGACATATGACGGATGTACATGTTTTTAACCTAAAACGTTGTTTCTTAATCGGAGCAAAGCTTCTTGCAAAAAATGTTAACAAGTATTAAATCTTCAGAAGAAAGAGTAAAAACTTTTTAATGGCGTGAAAGTCAAAGTTTTTTCCGTAATAAATTAGGAAATTCTTGAATGATGCTGAGATAACATGTGAAAGTGGAGTACATGGGCAATGCAAAGAAGAAGTTTTCTTTCTTGCTCCTTCAAATCATTGCTAGGAAATACTATTCTTATGAGATGAATGAGAATTCTACATTTATGTTATAAAAAATGTCCTGATTATAACAATCTCGATAATTGATCGGTAAATTTTCCCCTGTGCAGCCCCTTCCCCTGCCAGAATAATTGTACTGCTATAGCTGACATATTTCTATTTGCTTAAAACGTCTAAACCTATGTTATATTTGGAACATTGACATATTTCCTTAGCTATCACCATCTGTGATCTAACTGCTTTTAGCAATCAACTTGTCTCATAAAGACTGTCTCTTTCGACCTCATTTGTGTTCGGTAGATGGCTAAATTCCTGAGCTATCAACAATTCGTATATAAATAGCTTCCAAAAGCATGAATGTCCATTTCAGATTCACCCTGAATTAAATGAGAGAATATTATCATTTTCTGTTCCGTTAAGTATTATAACACGTTTCATCATGTGAATTGACAAAGATTTTATTGCTCCGAACTATGTTTTATAGCTTGTTCTCACAAGCTAAGTGTAGAAAGGTTGTTTTAAATCTATATCAACAGTCCCACAATTCAAACCTTACTTTTACATGAATCGTTAAAGTCTGAATCCTGGACATTAAGTTCGCTTCTTAACTTTACAAAATCGTCCCTGGGAGATGAAAAATGCCTTTCGGTCTTCAAAATACAAGTACACATTATGAAAACAGTGAAAAATTATATTAGCGCAGTAAACGTATTGGGTTCAAACAAGACCTATACACAACTATGAACTGTAAATTCATTTCATATTATAAACGTACGTAATAAAATTTTCGCTTATTCCAACTGAGAAGATGTTCAGTAATGCATTCTTCTCGTCCTTAATACGTACAACCATTAATGTGTACATTAGTTCGTGGACTTAATCGACCAAAAACCGAGTGGATGTGCAGATCAAGTAATACTCACCGGAGGCCGTCATATTTTTAGTAGTCAGCCAAGTCTTAACAAATACGAATTTATTTGCTCAACTTTATCGCCAGCAGTTGCTGCCGCATAACTTGCCATCTTCCGCTTCAAATAACCTAAAAAGTGTGAAAGAATCATCCATTCAAGACAACCCTTTTCAGATTTACTTAACCACGGTTTAGTTACGTGAAATACAGTATTATTACTTCGTCTCATAACATCTTTAATGAGCATTATCGTCGGCGTATGTGGTATTTAGCTTACGAGTTATTGGGTAAACAGTCATAACCTACGTATGTAACATACCTGATATAATCAACTGTGTGATTTCCATGCATTATAGACAGTGCTGGTGCAATATTTCTTAAAGCATTTTGATTTTCTTCCGATGTAACACGTAGAGCCCACGGCCAATATTTGCATATAATATCTTCCCACATATATTTAACTATGTGGTTGTAAAAGTCATATGCAAGTAGTGAGCATAGCCATAGGATTTCCTTTGATATAGTCGTGGCAAGGAACACAGGTTACGCGACATTCATCTGTCAGAATATCGACTTGTATTTGTTCGCAATTGGACAATTCCACCAAATTTCTGGCAGCCTTCACACCAGCATCGTTAACAGCTTCTATCTTGGTTGTTATGGGATTGTGGCTTGATCTTCTTCTAACATCACCATCCATGTTTAATGCCTGTAATCTGACTAAAATTTGGTTGATACCATCTTCAATTCTAGCAATAGGATTGTGATGATCATCAACCTCTTGCGATCCTTGTTCGTCAAAAAATCTGATACCGTGGATTGTATTTTCCCTGCTGTGTTGCTATCCTTA